ATGCTCAGCAAATACCGGTGATTTCTGACATTGTCATCATCAGCCCAAAACTGAAACTTCCCCTCTGGCCGGGGTTCCGATTGTCTCGGAGGTCCCCAGCTGGCTCTCCCGGCCAGAACCGTGACGACATCGAACCTTCGCAAGCCTGCTTTCTCAGTAGCTATTTCTTGGCCCGGCTTGGACGGTCAGGGGTCGGCTGGTCCCGGAGGCTCCGCCCTCAAGTAAAGTTCAGGGGGCTGCAGGGGGGAGGGCTGGACTCCTGCCCAGCCTCACGGGCTTCCAGCCAGACCTGCGTGCCCCTGAATCCGGAGGCAGAAGCACTGCAGCCCCTTTCGGGTGAGGCAGGGCGGGGCACGCTGCACCTTCTGTTTTCCTGTCCCGCAGGGCAGCTCTGCCCGCCACTCATTTTCTTGGCAGCTCAACACCAGAGGTTCACTGCGGTGCTAAAAATAGGCTGTGTTTAGACGCTCCGAGGCTCCGCCTGGAAACATGGACTGCAGTAACCAAACGCCACCACTCCCGAGAACGGGGCCCTGGGCCTCACCCTTGTAGAAACTCCCGCTAGCCCTGGGAGGGAAGCGGGAGCAGGCGTCGTCTGCCACATTCCCCAGACGGGGAAACTGAGGCTCAGATGACCGCCAGCTCTGAGCAAGCACCAACTCCACCCAGCCAGTTGGACCCTCTCACTGACTCCACCCCAAAACCCCAGGAGGCAGATTCTGTGGTCAACCCCCACTTTACGGAGAGAAAACCGCAGCTCGGAGAGGTGACGGCACCTTCCAGGGCCCCGTAGCTGCAAGTGACAGGAGAGGATGTGGGTGTGGGCATGGTTTCCCACATGAAACGAATGAATGGAGACTGAGAGGCGAGGGGCTTGTGGAAGGCCCCCTGGAGCCCCCCGCCGGGGTCGTAGATTCGCGGCCTGCGGACTGGGGAGAAACTTCTCACCTGCCTCCCAGGTTGCCAGGGGGCAGGAGCTCACAGGAATGTGTGTGTAAAACCGTTAAACACTGTCCGGCATAGGGTAGGTGTTCAACAAGTGGCAGCTAGCTTTATTCTCCCCTTCTCTCTGGGGTAGAATTTCTGTCTGGAGAGAGAGAAAAGAGAAAGAGAAAGAGAAAGAGAAAGACTTGCGTGGGGAGAGAACGGTGCACGGACGGGAGAGGCGGGGAGGACTCCGGGGCTCTCTTGGGGAGGTAAGGCTGCGGCTGAGCAGGGGACCCGCACCCCTGTACCACCAAGACCTGAGGAATGCAAGGTGTCTCCCCGACAGAGTCCTGAATGGACAGTTCTCCGAGGCTGTCCCCGGGTGTCCTGGCACATGGCATGGAGCCATGGTCATAGGGTCAAGTCCTGATGGGGAGCCTGGACCCCTGGTTCTTTGCATTCACCTGCCACCAGTGTTTGCTGGTGACCCACACACACTACAGGCTGGGGACGACGCAGGGAGAGAAGACGCGGTCCCACCCCAGTGGGTTCAGGTTCCGGGGCGCCCTCCCTCCAGATGCACCTCTCCCACCTCCCCACGACTGGCAGGATGGTGTGGGCGGCTCAGCCAGCACCCCCTTCCCCGAGGAGCCCCCGTCCTCACAGTCCCTTCCTGAGAGGGCCCCCTTCACTCCCCACGCCACCGAAGCCTCCGTCTCTTGCTGTTCTCTGCCAGCTCCTAATGAGCTCATTATCCTCTTAAAACCCATTTGGCGCCCACTTAGAGAAAAGATGTGTTGAAATAGAAAAGAATGAGAAGGGAACAACAAAAAAGGACTAAACCCAGAAATATCCTCAGAGAGACAAAAAGCCACAGAGAATACAGCCGCCGAAATCGCTGCCGCCTCCATGGCAGCAATGTGCTCTTGAGAGGGCTTGGGGGGTGGGGGGGGAGGCGCTTCTTGAACACCTACTACGTGCCAGCCATTCTTCCTGCAATTTTTTATTTTTATCCTCACCCAAGGACATGCTTATTGATTTTTTTTTTTTTTTTTTTTTTTTTAGAAAGAGAGAGGGAGGGAGAGAGGGAGAGAAATATCGATGTGAGAGAGAAACATCAATTGGTTGCCTCTTGTACACGCCCTGATCCAACTGGGGACCGAACCCATGACCTTTTGGTTTACGGGATGATGCTCCAACCAACTGAGCCACACCGGCCAGGCCTCTTTCTGCAATTTTTAATTCAATCCTCCCAGCAATACAGTTTGGGAGTATCAAGATTCTTATGTTTACTTTACAGATGAGGCACCTCAGTTGGTACAAAGAGATGTCTTGCACCAGTCACACAGCGGGAGGATGGGAGAGGCAGGATTTGAACCCAGGTTGGCCTGCCTCCAGAGTCCACGCTCTTGCCTGAATGCCACTGGAGGGTTGGTGACCCCCTGCCCATCCCCACAAGGGCTGCTGGCCTTTCCTCATCCTGGCCCAGTTGTAAAAGCCGCTGGCATGCTTTTGCACATGGAATGCCACGGGATATCACCCGTTGCTGGAGACTTCCAAGCTAATTAGAAACTGGTCTTTCTAAAGTGACGGTGTGACCAGGAAACTTCTGTGGGTCCCCACGCATGCTGTTAGAGCACAGTTCAGACTCCAGAGATTGGTGTTCAAGGCTCCCCACAGTCCGGGCCTGCTCACTGCTTGACTGTGTTCCCACCGTGCCCTGAGCTCCTTTGCTCCTCCCTGAGGCGACCTTCCGCTGCTCCTTCACCCACAAACTGCCTCCTCTTGAGAGACCTGCCAGCTCAAAGACCCTTACTTTTCAGACCCTTACCTTTCTGGCCTCCCACATTCCAGGACTTCTTACCCCAGGTCCACAAACCTCCTGACTTTGTAATCCCAAATCTGGGAGTTTATGTACTAGGGCTCTTTTCTGTGCATATGTCTTTAATTTTCATCAGATTCTCAAAGGGATACAAGACCAGACTAGATACAAAGTTAGGAATGCACTTGTGAAATCCAGTGACCCTGGGTTCATACCCCAGCTGCTGCTTACCGGCTGTGTGACCCTGTACCTCTTTGAGCCTCATTCCTCACCTCTTCAAAACTGATACAGATCTTCCTCAAAGAATTGTTATGAGGATTAAATCAGCGTACTATGTGTTTATAGCAATGTCTAGCACATAATAAGTGCTCAACAAACATGAGTTATTAATATTAATTGCTGTTCTATATCTTACACATACATCTACTACAGGATTTATCACTGTCTGTCTAGTGTAACAATTTAGTATAGTGATCATTTAAATTCTTTCTCCCGGAGTACACCCTGAATTATTCATTTCTGCATCCCAAGCAAACACACAGTAGGCAAGAAACACATGTTTTTAAATGAGTGTGGAAGGATGGGTAGATGAATGGATAGGTGGAGAGTTAGATGGATGAATCTGTTTTTATAGTTCAGATGGATGGATGGATGGATGGATGGATGGATGGATGGGTTGATTAACAGTGGATGGAGAGTTAGGTAGATTGATGGATAGGTGGACAGATTGTGACTTAATGGATGGATTGGTGGGTGGAATGATGGCTGTATTAAAGAATGATGTATAAGTGGATGGACCAATGGATGAACAGAGTTTGACCCCATAGGAACATGGATTTTGGGCTGTTTTATTCACTGATTTATTCCAAATGCCCGGAACAATAACTGGTGCATAGTAGGTGCTCTGCACTTAGTTCCTGAATGATTGGGAATGCCTATGGAGTACTAGCCGCTCTACCTTGAACCATAGTTAGATGTCCATGCTACTGTCTGGATTAGGAGGGGCTGGCTGTTAACCATACAGATGGCCCATTGGCTGACAGTTGAATCCCTGTATTGACCAAGGTTGTCATGAGGCCCCCTGCTGGCAGTCATGTGAAACAACATCAGCCAACTGGAGTTTTCTATTTTCTCATTTACCTTCTATTTTTTTCCTGGTGATGATCCTGAATGTTTACTCTTAAAGCAGTGGTTCTCAAACCTTTATGCTCATTACCATCACCTGAGGGCACCCTCTTACACCTGTAGGTTTCCCCTCAACCAGAGGTTCTGGTTGGAGAAGTCAGGAATCTTGAACCAGGTGAGCCTGAATCCAATGCTTCTCAGACCACACTCTGGGGGACCCTGTCAAAGGGCGAGCCACTACTGGTCATTGGGGAGCAGCGGCGGTGAGCTGCTGCTGCTGCAGGGACCATCTCTGAATTCCCAAGTGAAGTCCAGACCATGTGGGGAAAGGATAGACTCAAAAAGGCAGTGGCGAAGAGCAATGGGTTTGCATTTGTACCATCATGGGTTCAAATCCCAAGGCCACCACTCACCAGCTGTGTGGCCTCAGTTTCTTCATAGGTAAAATGGGGAAATAGTTACCTCCCACAGGAACCTGGGGAAGAATAAATGAGATGACACAAGCAGAGGGGTTCCCACAATGCACGGCACACCATAGTGCATGACTACATTGCTAAGTGACCCTGGTTTCCTTTCCCTCCTGGGATAAAGGAGCGGGACTGTGGGTTTGATCTCTTCCTAGTGCGTGAGCCCTGCGGGGGAAGGCACTTTGTCTCTCTCATTCACAGCTCTCTCCCCAGCATGTAGGATCGTGCCTGCTACACATAGTAGCTGCTCACTAAAGTTTTGTTAGGAAAAAAAAAATTAATGAATTTGATCTGGTTCAATATCGGTCAGGTCCCGCAGACAGTTCAGTGAGGACCTAGGGAGTACTTTTTGGACTTCAGGTAACCCACAAATCACTGTGTGTTTGGCAAATATGTAGGAAGTGTGGGCACAGGAACCTGTGGTTGTCTGAGGTAAAGCTTGTCCCCACACCAGCACCCAGTAGGATTCAAGCCCCCAAACTCCCCGTGTGGTTTAAAGGAAAACGCAGGTATTCTGGGCTTCCATCCAACTCTCCTGGGTGCTTCGGGCCATTGCTTTACTCCCTCCTCTGTGCTCTGCCCCTTGAAAATGTTCCAGCGCCTTCGAGCCCTGGCGTCTGTGAGGAAGCGTCTCACACCTGGTCTGTGCTGTTTTGCAGGTGGCAGCCCCGAGCCCTGATGCGTGACCGGATGGAAACCGGCCTGCTTCTGTCTCCAGGAGGTGGACACACCCCGCTCGGTCGCCCGCTGGGAGAGAGAAGCCAGGACCGGTCTCAGTGAAGTGAGCCAGCCTGACGGCCGAGGGGCCCAGAAAGGACAAGGAGGGCTTCACAGCTGCCGGGGCCTGCAGAGTCCTCCTCCAGTTTATATTTTCAAAGTTCCTCGGGAACTCTCTGAGGCGAAGAACAAGATGTAGGAAAATGGGACCTACTCCTGGGGATCCCGAGCCTCCAAACTCCTTTTGTGGCCCGAGGAAGCTCGCCTTTACCTCGGGACAGCTGGGGAGCTCCGCCCTCGGTTCTCTCGGCCTCAGCCAAGTGCTAGACTTGCCCTTCAGCTCTGGTCCTGGCAACCACCTTCGCAGAGGGCACCAGCCTGCAGACCCCCAGGGGTTCCGTCCCTAAGGGGAGCTTGGGAAAGGAGGCCTCCTCTGTTCCCTCCCCGTGTGTCCCCTCCAGCTAAACCCCAGCAAGCCAGTCCGGAATGATCCGGCTATGGCCAAGCTCTGGTTCAAGTTCCAGCGGTACTTCCGCCGGAAACCTGTGCGTTTCTTTACCTTTCTGGTGCTCTACCTGACGGCCGGGAGCCTCGTCTTCCTTCACTCTGGCTTCGTGGGCCAGCCCGCCGTGTCCCAGAACCAGGCCAACCCGGCCGCCGGGGCCCCGGCCGAGGGCGCCGAGCTGCCCTTCCTGGGCGACTTGCATCTGGGCAGAGGCTTCCGGGACACGGGCGAGGCCGCGAGCATCGCCCGCAGGTACGGACCCTGGTTCAAGGGCAAAGATGGCAATGAGAGAGCCAAACTGGGCGACTACGGAGGAGGAGCGTGGAGCCGAGCCCTCAAGGGGCGGGTTGTCCGGGAGAAGGAGGAGGAGCGAGGTAAGAGGCGTGGCTGCGGAGATGGGAGGGGCGATGATGATGATAAAATCCCAGCCGTCGGTTCTCAGTGCTTAGTAGGAAACAGCCAAAGAATAGTTACAGCTGAAGACACACAGGAGGTTTCATTATCACCTCCATTTCGGAGGAGAAAACTGACACTCAGAGATTTAAGTAGCTTGCCCAAGGTCACGCAGCTTGCACACAGGCAAGCATGGATTTGAACCTCACATCTGTCAGAGTGCAGTCTGACCCTCCCCTGCAGCTCTTACCAGCCCTTGTTAAATACGCAGGGAAATAAAAGCAGCTAGATCTATTCAGCACTTACTACGGGCCAGGTACTGTTCCAAACACCTTCCGTGTATTGAATGATGGCCGCAACTCTCTGTGGTAGGTGCTATTATTCCCATTGTAAAGACGAGGAAACTGAGGCACCAAGAGCCCAAAGTTACATAGCTAGCATGTGACAGAGCTTCTGCTCCATCTCCCTGCCTCTGAATCCACCCTGCTGGCTCCCTTGGGGATGGCACTTGGGGGACAGCATTGTCGTGGACACATTTTCTTGCATTTTGTTAGACTTTCACAGTTGAGAAGGGCTTGAGCAAGGAGCATGATCTTAGGCCCAGTTAACAGATGTGGAAACTGAGGCCCCAAAAAGTGAAGACACTTGCCCAAGGCCACACGGCTGGTAAGTGGCCGCGCTGGAGTTCCGATCAGAGCCGTGTGGCCTGAGTGCTCGGCCCGAGGGCTGTCTCCTGGAGTCCACTGACATCCGCTGTGTAGCCAGCACGCGGGGGAGGACCCCCGCCCGGGCCCTGCAGTTCAGGAGGTTAACATGAGTGGACATTCCCCGAGATTGGCAGGACCCACCGCCAATCAGGACAGAAGGAAAACCTCCTGAGCCTCGGGGTTCCCTGCCACACGTCACACTTCTACTGTGGTTCGACTTGTGGCAAACCCTCTCCCCCACCGTGGAGAGAAGCAGGGCTCATGGAGGGGACTCTTCCTGGGCAGCACATTCGCCTGCGGCAGCCCCGCCTTGCACTGGCTCAGGAGCCATCCACAAGCTCGTGCTTCCACGCACTGGAATTGCCTAGAATTCAGCCTCTTCAAGACCCAGCGTTCACAGGGAGGTGCTGGTGAGGCGGAAAGTGGCAGAACACATTAGGGGACTGCGATGCATACTCCAGCTCCACTGCAACTGGCCATGGGCCCAGGCAAGTGGCTTCACCTCATCAGGCCTCAGTTTTGTCATCTGTAAAATGGGGATGATGGCTCCTCCCGCCCAGGAGTCTCCTGCAAGTTCATTAAGACTGTGGTTATGCAAATGCCTAGCATGATGCCTGGCACATAGTAGGCTCTTAGAGGTGACTGAGAAATTCTCATGGGTCTGCCCTGGGAAGGGACCCCATCTTGTAGACACAAGGGAGGGGTGAGGAGCTACGTGGATGGACATGGCTTCTCTCTCCAGCATCTCCACTCACCAAGTCCCATCTCACGCTGGCCCCTCCAAACCTCGCCTGGTACTTTGCAAGCCCCAGAGACTGTCACAAGCCTGCACTTAGGGCACGCTCCCGTCATACTTAGGATAAAGCCCACGGCCCAGCTCTCTAATCTCACCTCATAAGGCTCCCACCCCCTCACCGCACCCTGCCCCACTATTCTCCTTGCCCTTCATTGAACACACCAAGCCCAGTTCCACCTCAGGGTCTTTATATAGGCAGGTCCTTTCATCTGGGATGCTCTCCACTTAGATCTTTGCATGGCTCCCTTGCTCCCTCCCTCCAGGTCCCTGGCAAACCTGGCCTCCCCACAGAGGCCTTCCCGGGCCATCCTAACTAAAGTCGCCCCACCTCAAACCTCGTCACAACCCCGTTCTCCAGTTTTATGTTTGTCCCGGCACTTACGATTCCAGGCAAATATCCTGTTCACGTGTTCATTTCCTTGTTTACAATCTGCCTCCCACACCAGACTGTCAGCTCCATGGAGGCGGGGATGCTACCTGTCCCGGTCGCCTCCGTTCAATCAGCGCTGGCCACAGCACCTGCCACAAAGATGGCGCTCAGTACCGACTTGTGAAGGAATGAGTGAGTGAGTGGGCAGATGAAGGAACAGCTACCCCTCCACCCACAGCACCTCCAAGGGCTAGCGCGACGCTTCCTCCAGGTCTCACTTAACTCACTTGCGGGGAGTTGTCCCGACCCTTCCCCCACCCCGAGACTTGATCACATGCTCCTCCTCTGTGCTCCATCGGGGCCTTTATACAGACGGTAATTGCCTGTGGTTTGTCAAGGTCCCCTGACAGCACACGAATTCCTCCTGGCATATAGGATACCTGTAATAACATGTAACACTAATAACAACCCCAGTGTGTTATGGGAATGGGACGCTGCTGCCACCACCAGCAGTAATTATTGCCATTTCTTGAGGACGCACTTTGCCAGCCACTGCCCTGTTTGCTGTTTACATGGTATTGCAATGTGATGGCATATGTCCAATGCTTAGCACATCTCCTGGCTCATGATAATAGGTCACCTAATAGTTGCTGTTACTGTTAGTTGTAGTAATAATAGCTAATATTAATGGAATGACCGTGTTTCATTGCCCTATTTAATGATCACAACAACTCAAAAAGTTAGAGACTTATTGTTATCCTATTTCATAAACGGAAAAAATTAAAACTCAGAGAGAAGCTATTTACCCCACACAGGGTACACAGGTAGCAAGTGGAGGAACCGAGGTTTGAAACAAGGTTTGTTAAACTCCAAAGCTTGTGAGCCTTCCTTTATACCAAGCTAACCACGCCCTCCCCCCCCCCAGTCCCCAAATCTTACATATTTTATAAAATGTAAAGAGAGAGAAGGAAGAGAAAATAACAAAGGAGCCCGCGGCCCAGAGCTCTCAGCAGGCAGTCTTTGGAATCAGTTGGCATTATTAAGAAAATGCAAATCCCGCCTGTCCTTGATTAACTTATTCAGAGTTCAGCAAGCAAAGACAACATATTAGATTAACGCTAATAGAAATGAGAGGCTTCTCCAACCTGCCGCTAAACACGTCTGGTGTTCCTCTGAAGCTGCCTGGTGCGCTGCTTGAGGCAGTGATGCCGATGCAGGACTAAAGCTGTAAAGGATTCGGAGCCCGTCATGGGGCAGGAGCGGGGAGGCAGAGCTGCTCGGGGCTGGGCTGGGGCAGGGGCTGGGCTGGGGCAGGGGCTGGGCAGGAAGTCTGACTCCGTGGGTGAAGCTGGCACCTACCATGTGTCAGTCCCCTGCTAGGTCCTTTACCTCCGCCAGCCTAGAATGAGACTGGTGCTTTGAGCAGTCAAATCTGGGTTCCACTCCTGATTCTGCAGCTTGCTGACTGTGCTACCTTGGGCAGGCCACTTCACCTCTCTGAGCCTCGGTTTTCCCTTGGGGAAAAGAACTGCTTAATATTAGATGGACGTCATAATGATTGTGTAGGGTAAATTGATGGCACTTAGCATTTTTTGCATCACATGATTTTTACAGCTTCGGTGAGGTAGACACTGTTACTAACTACCTCTTACAGGGAGGAAATGCAGGCACAGAGAGGGCAAGCAACCTGCCCAAGGTTACACAGCTGGAGGAGCGGGGTAAACCAGTATTTCAGCCTAATCACCTCACTTCTCGGTGCACGGAGGGTGCTCAGCACAGTCTGGAAAGAAGAATGAACTTAATATGTGCTGGCTATTATTATTAATTTTGTAATTCTGCAGAATACACAGGAGCACAGGGGTGATGTGACTTGCCTAAGGTGACACCACACCAAAGTGGGCATCTTAAAGGACCACCTTCCAGATGGCTGAGAATCCCCGGCAGGAAAATAACTATTTCTTGAGTCTCTCTACTCTGTCCCAGGCCAGGTGCTAGGCACAAAGCATTATTCTTACACAGAGTCAGGCTTAACAACACCCTTTGTATGGATGTCCTAATGCTGCCATAATAAAGTGCCATGAACTCAGTGGCTTCAAGCAACAGAAACCTATTATCTCACCGTTCTGGGGGATGGAAGTCCAAAATCAAGGTGTTGGCAGGAGCACGTGCTCCTAAAGGCTCTGGTCCAGGCCTTTCCCCCAGCTTCTGGTGTCGCCAGACACCCTTAACAGTCCTTGGCTTGCAGCTCGTAACTTCTTCAGGGTCTGCCTCTGCTTTCACATGACGTTCTTCTTGTGTCTTCAGAGAGTCATCTTCTTTCAGGTAGGACAGCAGTCGTACGGGACCGGGGCCCACCGGACTCCAGCATGACCTCATAACTTAACAAATGACACCTGCAGGGACCCTATTTCCAAATGAGGTCGTATTCTGAGGTGCTGGACTTAGGACTTCAACATACTCTTTTTTTGGAGGGGACGCAATTCAACCCAAAACACCTCTATTTTTATTCCCCTTTTAGTGTCTCTGGGAGCTTGAGTGATAGTGCAAGGCGACTGCTGTGCCAGGATTTGAACCCAGATCCAGTCGCCTCCCAAACTGTCCTTCTGGTAGACTCTACTGCCTCCTGTTTGTACATCTCCTCACACACAGGAAATAAAAGCAATACAAATTAGTCATGTTTAGCTACCCTTTTAACAAGTTACCTTTATTGAAGAGAGTAACATTTCTTGGAAAGGAAGATTAATCGAAGCAAAAGAATAAAGGAAAGGAAAGAATACACCACCATCAGGTGAGGGGGGCGCATTTTCCCGGACGCCCGCGCTCTCCCGAGCTCACCCCCGGCTGGTTTCTGTGCTTGAGATAAATAGTCCGGCTTGGGCAACCTCACCGTCTCGGCAGTCGTCGCATAGCTGTGGAGACGAGTGGTAGACCAGGGGGATTCGGCCATTAATCCACCCTCTCGTGGCCGGTGACTTTGTGCGGCTTCCTGGCCTGACCTCCCCTCCTTCTCTGAGGGCTCTGCCACCAGGGCAGGATCTGAGGGCAGGGCTGCGGGAAAGTGGCTGAAGTGGGCTGGCGGTCACCCCACTGGTGAGCTCAGGGGAGGTAGAACTCCAGGGACAGGGACGCCCGTTTGTCACAGTCGGCACTGAAGGGGCAGTTGGGAGACATAAGGCGCGACCCGGGACAGGGAGGAAACCACCTTAATACCCTTCCCCTGACCAGGGGAGCCCAGCGCGTGCATCCAGCCACGGTATGTAACGTGGACATGTGTCTCCAGAGCATTAATGAAGGGCCATGTATCTTTTTATCCCTCCTGTTCCTAGAGGAGGAAATGGAGGGTCATCTGTCCATGCAACAAGTGTTTGAGCACCTGTTACAAGGGACATCTCATCCTATGCCAGGCCTGGTGGAGAGTTAGGGAGGGGGTGGGCCAGCATGGCAAAGCCCAGGCTTTGGCGCACAGGGACCTACAGTTGAATCCCAGCTCTTGTCCCAAGGGACCGCCCCTCCCCCATTCTCCCTCCAGGGAGGTCTCTCTGGGGAGGATGGAGGTGCCCTCCTACCAAGCGGAGACCCAGTGTTGTGCGTGAAACAAAGGAGCAGACAGGCCAGGCTCGGAGTTGGTCTACACCCTCACAGCTGGGTAGCCCCAAGCAACTCAGTTTGAGAATCAGCACATCAATCAAGGGACAAAACACATCTTGAACCAGCTTAAGCTAAAGAAGAAAAGATATTGGGACTTGTCACCAAACTATGGAAGGGCTGGATTTTTAAATGAATGATTTCTAGCTCTCTTTTCTGCTTGTGTCTGCCTTCGCTTGCTGCTGCTTCTCCACAGAGTGACTTTGGTGCCAGGGATCGTGGCTGTTGGTAGCTCTGGGCTTACAGAATGCCAACGTCATATCCCAAGGAAAACAGATCCTCCCACCCCCCTCTGCTTTAATCTACAGGAATCCAAAGAGCGGGGCATGTGTTCTTCCCCAGAGCAATCAGTCACTGGCTGGTGGGAGAGGCAATAATGGCTGGCCCTGCTGAGGTCAGCGTCTTCCTGTGGCCAAGGCGGGTAAAGCCTGTTAATAAGAGAAAGAGAGGAAGAGGGTGCTTTGAAGGCACAAGCAGCACATTACGGTCCACCCCTTCACTCCACAGTGAACACGCCTGTGACATACGCTCTCACTCCTGTTAATTTGATCATTAAAAAAATCTCATCTAACACAGTCTACTTTCCTGCCTGTAGCCAAACACACCTACCTTCACTGTGAGGCAAGCCCAGTTCAAATCACAGCACATTCAGCTCCAAGCCCTGCGTGTCTGGGCCACAAGCACCCTGCCCTGCCAGGTGCCAGTGTGGCTGTTCACTGCCCCAAAGACTGTGGGCCAGAAGGAGGTGAAACTTCCCCAAAAGTCAATGGCTGGAAGCTAGACCTGAGCTTACCTTTTAGCTGAGACACGAGTGTAGGAACTTGGGCAGATCACATAGCTTCCAATTCCATTTAGAGAAGAGTAACATGAAGTATCATGAGTGGTTACCCATCATAACATAGGCCATAGGCCAAAACTAAGATCGCCGCAAGGGAGACAGAGGTAATGGGTTAATCAGAATGGTTTTAGTGTTGCATTTTAAAAAATTAGGCTTGGCCCATAGTAACATAGACAGCATGTTGTAAGTGCTCAAAACACAAGAATTCTCTCTCTTTCTTTTTTTCTCTCTCTCTCTCACAAACTATTGATCTATGACAAGGACCTCCTTGCTGCCAAAATAACCTTTTCCCCTTTCCTCTCTCCCTCCCTTCCCCTCATTCTTACCCCGCCCTCCCTACCTCCTTCCTGTTCTCCTCTGTCTCCCTCCCTCCTACTCCCTCTCTTTTTCTCCTCCTGCCATCCCATGATGCACCCCTGGACACTCTGTCCTCCAGAGAACTGCTGAGCCGAAGCTGGTGAGCACCCCTCACCAACACCTCCCATAGGCATCCTCCCAGCTCAGGTGTGAACGTCACCCATGCCCCAGGGCACAGGGCATGATTCCATCTGTGACAGGAGGGACATACACTGTTGAACAAGCACAGCAACAAGACACGGGCTTCTCTAGAGCTGTCACCATCTGATGTGCCCACTCCAGGGAAGCGATCATTCTTATAAAAATGGACTGTTCTTAGTCGACCAAATCACCTCTGTCTTTCACAGGAAATTCAAGGTGATGGAGGTCGAGGTGCATCTCCAGGGGAGCTGACAAATTCTGCACTTAGCAGGGCGGCACTGAGGAGCACAATGTCTGCCCCTCTGCCAGACCCTGCTCTGCACTACTAGCGAGGGGGGCAAGCAGCCCACAGCGTAAACAGACAGCAGCCGAGCCAGGGAAAGTGACGAGCGGCACGTGGTATTGGCCTCGACCGTTCCCTGTGAGGGCCATGGCAGTCTGAGGGCTGACTGGGTCCACGGTCCAACCTCCAGCTACTTCCAAGTAGAACAGAGGAGAGAGCCCCGGTTTGGGGTCCCACGGACCTGGATTTAAGCCTTTGTTTTGCCACCAGCTAGCTACAGGTTTCGGGCTCCCCCTATTCACGTGGGTCATTGCAAAGATCCCCAGAGTCAGGGAGAAGCAAGCAGTCGTTCAAAACATAGGCCGGAGTGCGTGGGCCCAATCCTGGCTCCGCACGTGCAAGCTGTGTTTCCTCGGACGAGTGACTTCACATCCCTGGGCCTCCGCTTCCTCTTCTGAACAGGATGGGATATTAGCACTCATCTCGTAGGATCATTGTGAAGATTCAATGTGTAAGGCGCTTAGCGAACTCTGTTCAAATTAATCATAATACCTGTAAGAACACCTGGGAAAGGACTTTATAAATGGTAAAGTGCCATTTTCATGTGTGAAAATAACTATTTACCATGAAGCACAGGAATACGTGTACTACTTTAAGAAAATGGAGTGCATGGTTTCAAATCGGTTGGCTGTTTTACGTAATTTTAAATTTTCCTTTGGATGGAAGCATTCGCTGGGCCCACAACAGAGGCACACGGTGAAGTACGCGTCCAGCGCTGTGAATGGCCAGCTTCTCATTCCACTCACCTTAGCTTCGTGCAGGACTGTGGTAGAAACATGTACACAAATCATTCCATTTGAACCTCACTGGGTTGGTATTTCCATCCCTACTACGAAGAAAACTAGGCCTCCGAGAGGTGAACTGGCCTGCACTCACGAGGCCAGTGCCAGAACGTTACAAAAGTGAGCGGAAGACTGAGGCCTTGAGCCCAGCATCCCTTCCGAGGAAAAATACCCGAAGGCGTCTTGTAGAAATGATAACGTGCTGTCAAATGCCGGGCTCTGCAGAGCTGCCCCGATGTGGGTCTCATCTGCTGGGCGCTGACGCAGTGGCCTTGGCTTGGATTCCTGCCTGCCCACTTGTCACCTGTAGAGCCCAGGGCTTTGACCTTAACCCTTGCCACAGAAGGGTCCCCTCCTCTGCTCTGCCAGTCCCCACTGCCCTTAGGGACCAGGCTCTACCAATGCACACGACTTTTAGTCTCTCTTGTTTGCTTTTCTGCTCATAGGAAGAAACTGGTACCAAAAAGCAGTAAGGCCACATGGCCAGGGACACCCTGCTTCCTCCTGTAACCCTTTCACCCTTGACCCCGGCCAAACCTGACTTTTCTCCTCTCCCCAAAGCCAAGTACATCGGCTGCTACCTGGATGACACCCAGAGCCGGGCCCTGCGAGGCGTGTCCTTTTTCGACTACAAAAAGATGACTGTCTTCCGTTGCCAGGACAACTGTGCAGAACGGTAGGGCCCCAACGTCCCAGGCTCTGCTCACCTCAGACCCCGTCCATCTCAGGTTCCTGCCTGTGGCATCCCTTCCCTTCCCCTGGAGGGTGTGATGGAGAATGAGCAGGTGGCCACGAGAAACAGGTGTTGCCAGGGTGCATGTGCGTCAGTGTGTGCGTGTGTGTACACGTGCGTGCAAATGAGCAGGATTGTGTGGGAATTGGTCTGTGTGAGACTGTGCCTAGGAGTGAATTTACAGTGTGCAGTGTACGGGGTCAGCTTGGTTACATTTATGAGCGTAATGCCAGCACGTAGCTGTCTTTAAATTCTAATGGCTGTGTGTGCAGGAATGTGAATGTGTGGGCAGGGGCCCGGAATTGTGCCTGTGCGTGGGGAAGGCAGGAGTGGGGTTCCTGTGCACGCAGGGGTGAACCTGTGAGCAGGAGGCTTGCGAGGTGCCCTGGGAAAGGTCAGGGGGAGCCTGGGAATCGGGTACTTAATGGCCTCCCTGCAGAGAAACGCCTTGTTTTCTCCCAGGGAAACACTCACCTGCACAGACCATGCTTTTTAATAGAAGAAGAGAGTGCTTTTGGGGGTTGGAATGTGCACTGGGGAAGGGAGCTGCCTTCCTAAGAGTGGGTGAGCCCCCAAAGGGCTGGTGGGCAGGTTTGGGACCCTCGCCCTTCAGGGGAACCTCTGCATCTGAGACACCTCTGCCGATTTTTATCCACCACACGGGAGGGTGGGACCAGCTGGTTCCACATCTCTGCCCCTCCCACCAGTCCCAATGTAGCTTCTTCTTTATACCCTTAGTTAGAGGACTTCTCTCAGCTAGATGTCAGGGGGTTCTCAAGGATGGTGGTCCTGTAGTTTAGTTGTAGTTTTGATGTGGTTGTGGGAGGAGGTGAGTACCACATTTTAATTGATTTTTTTTAAAAGAGTAAGGGAGGGAGAGAGAGAAACATTGATCGGTGCCTCCTATACATGCCCCCCTGGGGGCTGAACCCACAACCTAGGTATGTGCCCTGACTGGGAGTCGAACCCACAGCCCCTTGATGTACGGGATGATGCTCCAACCAACTGAGCCAGCAGCCAGGGCCACCTACAGAATTTTAAAAACTCTCACTGCTCAGGTCTCACCTGGCCCAATCAAATTAGATCCTTGGGAAATGGGAGCCAGGTGTGGCATTTAAAAATACGTTCCCTGGATGATTCTAACAGGCATCTCCTCTCAAGAACCACTGATGGGAGGGTTTCTAGGCCAAGCAAAGTCATCTAGATGTTTCCGAGGGCAGTGAAGCACTGGGAGGCTTTAAGCACTGAAGAGGTGTGATCTGTTTTAATTTTCGAGAGGTCCTTCCGGCAGAGGTGACAGCAGTGATGTGAGGGGCAACAGCTCAGGGGTGTGCAGAGGCCGAGCCTGGGGGGTCTGTCTCTCCTGCCGCCCCCTGAAGTTCAGGGTGAGGGCCTGAGCCGGCAGCTCTCACCGGTTCCACCTCGCGCGACGCGTGCTATGCCCGCGGCTCCCTGAGGAGACCTCGTCGTTCTGGGGAAAGCCTTGGACGCCCCCACGGGCGACAGGGCTGAGCAGGGCCCGCCCCGCAGGCTTCCCGCCAGCCCGCCCCCTGCTGCCAGAGCCAGCGACACGCTTTCCAGCTGTTCACAGAATGCGCGTCCAATAAGAGTCCTTTTTAGGAAAAGATTCCATGATGATGGGGAAAAAAAATGAAAACCTTGCGGTGTCTGGATTTTTTGGCTTCGGGGGAAGGAATCTTTTGCTTGGCTGGATAAGCGACTTGGTTTCGCCATCTTCCAAAGGGATGAGCGGGTCCCTGCCTCCTCCCCTTGCTCCAGCTCCTCCCAAGGGGACATAGAGCATCATTCCTAGGGGACGTTTCCTGGAATCAAGGGGCTGGACTTTGCGGATATATTTGGCTCATTGCTGTAGGCAGGGAGCAGCAAGAGAGTGAGGTGGGGTGGGGTGGGGTGGGGTGGGGCCACAGGATGTGGGCCGGGTGTGTGTGCGTGGCCTTGTGCTGTAAGTGTATGCAGGTAGGTGTCAATGTGGCCATGGTGTGTCTGTGTGGATAGGTGTATGGGGTGTGAGGCGTCAGGTGGGGATGAAGGAAGGTAGGTGGTCCCTAGGGGTCATGGTCCCAGAGCCCTGCCGTCCCCCAGGTCTCCACACTGGGTGAACATCCCTGTCCCCGAGGTCTCCATGGTGGCAGCTGCCCTGGCCTGACAGCAGCCTCCCCCAGGGGTTACCTGTACGCTGGGCTGGAGTTCGGTGCCGAGTGCTACTGCGGGCACAAGATCCAGGCGACCAATGTGAGCGAGGCCGAGTGTGACATGGAGTGCAAGGGCGAGCGGGGCAGCTTGTGCGGCGGCGCCAACCGCCTCTCCGTCTACCGGCTGCAGCTGGCCCAGGAGTCCGCCCGCAGGTGTACGTGAGTTGACCCCTGCCCCCTCTGCGCTCCTCCCCTGGCCAGCGGGGCCTGGCCCTCGCCTACCTACCTGCACGTCTGCCCCGCCCTTTCCACAGGTCCCCGTCACTCCCGTGCCCTTGGATGCCCTCCACGGCTGCCACAGTCTTGCCCCAGACTCGCCTCCCACCCCACCATGCAGGGCCCTTTGATCCAGCTACCTGGGGTGTTTCCACCTGCCCTGTCCTCTCCCACCCTGAGCTGCCTCCTGGACCACCTGCACCCCATCCGCACCTGTCTTCCTCCTTAACAAACTGAGCAAGAGCCTGAGCTTGGCCCGTCCCTCGGGATTTTCTGAAAGCAGATGGTCTCTAACAATGATGACAATGATGGTAACAATGATGACAGCAAACAATGCATCTTTTCTAAGTGCCTTATGTAGAAGAGTATGCCTAATTCTCACACTGATGCTGGAAATCAGCCCTGTTAGTCACCTACTCCCATTTTACAGATGAGGAAACTGAGGTTCAATGTCGCATAAACAGCAGAGAATTTAAACCAGTTCCAGAGCCTATGTCTTTCATGCTAAGCCCACTGCAGGTTCTCTCTCATTTACCTTCCCTACAACCTTTTCAGGCAGGGATGTTACCACTGCGAATTTTGCAGTGAGGAAACTGAGGCTTAATGAATTTAAATAAACTTGCCCAAGGCCACAGCCTAATTAAAGGCGATCTTTAGACCTCTAGAAAGAGCGATAGAGGATCCTCCTGGTTACCCCTCTGATGCTGTCAGGAGACACACAGGAATTTGCTAACCTGGGACCAGCGCTTCCCAAACTTGAATGTTGCCAATGAACCCTATGGGGATCTTGTGAAAATGCACTGCAGTAGGTCCAGGTGGGATTCTGCATCCTTGGGGAGCTCCCAGATGACACTAGGCTGCTGGTCGGGGGACCACACTTTATAAATAGTAAGGCCTTAGGCCCCTGTGGAGTTGACAAGGCCAGCCCGGGAGGCAGGCTTGACTTGGCAGAGCTTCACACCTGCCTGTACGCAGAGAGAGGTCTCTTCCACGTGAATGCCCTTGCTTATAAAACTTCATCATTGGTGAGCTCGATAATGTGTCATGTTTTTCAACTGCCATGTTTTTGATGCCCATTCAGGCTTTGCTCTGCAATAGGGTCAAGCAGGCTACCAGTTTGCCAAGGGCCCATTTCTGCAAAGGGATGCCCCGCCCACCTCCCCATGGGTCTGAAAGCCCGGCTGGCAGAGGCAGCGTGTGAAATCCAAGCTGCAGAATGTTCACACAGCAAGTTCCTGGGTTGGCCATTCATGTAACAGGGCTTTAATTTGATGGCAGATTGATCATCCTTGTCACTGAACTCTTTATGCCAATGCGTGTGTTATTTTGATGGTGACTTTGACCATCTGAAGAGATGGCTTTGGCTTTGTGGGTATTTAGAGGGAAAGCTGCTGCCACTAAAACATCCTCGTGGATGAGGATGAGCCAGATGACAAGAGCTGGGCTGCGTATGTCACTCGCCAGATACTAACCAGACATTGGTTAATGTTCAGGTTGGCCGAACTACTAAGATCACCTGTAATAATGACATGCTCATTGAGCATCAAAGATTTTTCAATAATCTGAAATATGTCTTAACTCACAAAGACTAGGGTGGTTGCCAGTGAGCAGCCCCTAAGGTGTCTGGTGGGGACATAGGCCCAAGACCACTGGGCTCTGTTCAAGCAGGGAGGGTATGTACGGGGCGTTCTGGGGACACACTCGCAGGAGCCAAGGGAACAACATCTGGGCTGTGCCCTACTCTAAGGAGGTGTCTAGGTGAAAGGGACTGCCATGCATTCTAGTCATGAGCAAACGTCCAGGGCCGGCAAAGATCAGGGGTTGAACACCGTGTAGGAAGCGCCTTCCCTGCTGACGTCCCATTTCACAGTTTTGGAAACTGAGGCCCAGAGAGAAGAAGTGGCAAAATTGAGCCTCCTTGGGGAAGGCCCACAGAGTAGGGCTGTTTGATTGGGGCCTCGAAAGACATCAGATTTTGCCTGGTGGAGAGGAGGAGGATAGCCGGACTCCAGGCAAGTTGCCAAGAGGTGGGAGAGATCTAGGCACAGAAAATAGTGTGCCGAGCCGAGAGGTAATTTCAGGGAGCGGCAGGCAGGCGTGATTTTTCAGAGGCCACGGTGCCTCTGAGGGACTGGGAATGGGCTAGAACCCGGGTCTCTGGCCTCTGGTTTGAGAACTCACAACAGTGCTGTAGACACCTGGACCTCTTGCACTGGATTCTCTTTTGGGAGAATTTCTTTTTTTTTTTAAAGTCTATGTATTTATTTACTTTTTTCCATCACCATTTATCCTCCCTGTACCCTCCCCCACCGCCACGCAACCCTCCTGTTCCCCGCCATCACCACACTGTTGTCTGTGTGGGAGAATGTCTTAGCTCCAGCTTAACTCCTTCTTCCCCTGACACCTGATTTCTCCTCTTATTTCCTGACTCTAAACAATACAGAATCCCCAGTGTTTTGGCTCTGACCTGGGGCACCCCTGGCTTCCCGTTCCTGGGCTCTGATTTATACACAAATAAATGAGAAAGGGAGGCTTCCAAGTCACTGGCACATGACACTAGCTTGGAGTCCATCAGTCAAAGAAACGAGCAAGCACTGCAGGAAGCAGGTAGGATGGGAACCAGATTCCATTCGGAGATTCATTCGTTGGAATTAACACTGTGTCATAAGCACGTATCCCTGAGCAGAAGTACAGAACTCTTAATGATTGTGAGGATTCGAAGGACTCCTTGGTACCTTCCAAGCCCCTCTCGGATGGGTGGGGGGTGGCCCCCCTCCATAGGGAGGTGCTGGAATTCTCCTCCAGTCGCGAGAGAATGAAAAGGCTGGCGGTGCCTATGTCCACAGGCACCCTGCTGTTCTGCCTTGACATGGACTCTCAGGCCCATGGACTCTTTGCCCTCGTTACAAAAGAGCCGAGAAATGGACTTCCTTCTTGGTTGGGTTACATTTTTCACAGCAGTTTGCTAAATGTGTCAGCAAGTGTAGCTCTCCTCGCAAGGGCAGAGACCTGCCGGTGATGTGAGAACATTACGGCTTTATAGGATGCTGCAAGAAATACCATTTACCTGAAAGATTCTTGCAAGATTTCTGTTGCAAGGCTCGTTAGAACGACGCAGAATATACACCTGTCACGCCCATGGGGTGGCTGTCCGTGGTGCTGACCGTCCTCTGGGCCTGCCTAAGGCCCCGGGCTGCGACCCGCCCTCCCAGGGCTCATCCCTTTTCCCTCTTGCGTGTGTGTGTGTGTGTGTGTGTGTGTGTGTGTGTGTGTTCCTTTTCTATCTTGGTGAAAGTTTTATGAAGCTAACACAATCAACACAATCACTGGAAGAAATAGATCCTTGGCTTACAGTTCACAATTCACTTAGTGGATTTTGTGTACTGTTGTTAGTTCTGACAGGGCTTTTTTTTTTTTTTTTGTCTTCCAAAGTGAGAAGGGGGTTTTGTTCTGCACTTGTGATTTATGCTCACTGATCCTCCCTGCTAACCACTGCTGCTGAGGGGAGCCTCGGATGACCATGGAAAGTCACATCTTGATGGATAGACCAAGTCTAACTCCTCCTTTGCGAGGCCTGGAGACCTCTCCTTGCCCTTGATGGATGTCTGGGACTCCTGAATTTTATAATTCACATGGGCCTTCATGAATTATGCTGTGTAGAACCAAGGAGATGATAACTAGAAGGTCTAGAAGTTTTTTCTCCTTTTCCCTCATGATGGGGGAGAATGGGTCAACTGTTCCCCTCTAACCAAAATCCAGGAAGGCTATGGGGGCAATTTGAAATCAGGCAGACATTGTTTCTACATCAGCTCCCTCGCTTACTTGCTGTGTTGACTTTGGCCAAGCCATGTGTTCTCTCTGAGCCTCACATGCCTCGTCTGTAAAATGGGGACAGTTCTAGCCTTTGAAGATTGCTGCGGCCACCCAATAAGGTAAAAGCGAGAAAGCATCCAGTGCAGTGCCCATGATGGAGTAGCTGTGATCCCCGCCCCCTTCTTCCTAGAATGAAAACTCCTCAATTCACTCCCAGCAGCACCCAACTCAAGCTATTTGAATTCCCTCAAGCCCACAGGAGCCTTTGGCGGTGCCTAAAAATGGCTGGTTTGAATTCTCTCAGACAGACTCTTTGTGTAATTCAGTCTCTCTCTGATTACAGTAGCTGTTAACAGCTCCCAGCTCACTGCCTTCCTTCCTCACCGACATCTTTAATGCGGTTGAGCTTGGCCTAATTACCTGGGGGGTGGTGGCCTCTTTCACACCAAGGAGGACTCTGCTGGTGCCTGATGACATTTTCTTCATTGTGTGTGTGTGTGTGTGTGTGTGTGTGTGTGTGTGGTGCCCCAGAACAAAGAGATGATAGGACTTCAGAGATACTTGCAGCTGACTCTGTTCTTCATCTGCCCCTACCAAAGAGAGTTGACAAACAGTTGCTCTGTTCCCCTCTTGCTAATAAAAAACCCAAGCAGCTGAGGTCATGCACCATCTCAGCTAGCCTGGCAAGGAAGTACTGACATTGTCAGAATGTGGAGCACGGGCTTTTGTGATCTCTGGACCCTTCCTGGGGGGCCCGAGGGGGTTTCTGGGAAAGTCAGGTGGCTGGCATGGCATCTCTGCAGCTCAAGCATGTCAGAATTGGGCAGGCCCCCTGCAGAACAGCAGAGGGCTGGAAAACTGGGATGTGATGTCACACAAGATTGGGATCAAATCCCAACTCTTTTCCTCACTAGCTGTGTGACCTGGAAAAGTGAATGAGTCTTGGACCATCTCAGGGTCTCTGCCTGCAGAACAGTATAGACTGTGGAGAGGATCAACTGAGATACAGTGTGTGGAACGCACTCAGCACAAATGACACGTAGTGATCAGCTGATGTTATAACCATTGCTGTCATTCGTTAGTAAGTGCTGGTCAATAAGAAAACACCACTCAGGGTCACCATTATTGCCCGTGGGCCGCATACTGCACAGCCAGACAGGCTGTGGGCTGTGAAGAACAGTGGCCCCAACTTCTGTGCAGGATTTCCCTTGTGGATTAAAAAATGCTCAGAGACCCAAGAGAGTGTAGGTTGGGTTGCCCTAGAGATGAGAGAAATGGCCTTCAACATGTTCCCCTGATCCCTGGGAGCCCAACCTTTCTTCTGAACACCATGAAAGCCCTCTGTGACCAGGTGGTTTCCTTCCAACAGCAGGGAAGGGCGGGACTGTAGGAAGACCCCACACCCAACAGGATAGCTGCTCCCAGAACCGGCTTCCCAAGCTTGTTTCCTTCCCCACCCCCAGCCCCAGCACAAAAGAGAGACTCAACAGCCACAGCTCCTGATCCCCACTCTGGCCCTTTAAGGCTTCTGAAAACCTCATGTACTTGGTATTCAGGGCACTCAGCTCAGCCCTCCTCTCTAAACTGGGAGCATCAGGGACTCATTAGCAGATGGTTAAATGTCAAAGGGGGACCAACCACAGCAGAGGGGGGCTTCGGAGCCTTCCTTCCTCCCCACCCTTGCAGTCCAGCCTCCCCCTCTCCAGGCAGGCTGGAGAAAATCCCTCCAGATAGGGACTGTCTTCCTCCTCCCCTTTCTTTGCCTTAAGTCCAAAGGCAGCGGGCAAGGAGCCAGCCACAGACCTCTGCCTGCCCCTTCCACTGGGCTCCCAGCGCCCAGGGCCCATTCAAGTCCATCTCTGAGTGGCCCATCCAGTAGTCATGGCTCCATTTTAGAGATGAGAACACTGACGCTCCAGAAGGAGAGAAAACGTGCCCAAGGTCAAAGTGTGAGGAAGGGTGGAGCTGCCGGTGTAGACACTTGGAGGGATAGACGCTGCATTCCAGGGACGAGAAGCCAGGGAGGGTCCGGAGCTCGCACCTGCTGGCCACTGGTCTTCCGAGAGCAAGGCTGGTGTCTCATTACTTGGTGGCCACAGTTGGCATCAGCTGAGATTTTTGGCCTAGTCAAGGTTCGCCTACACCGTTCCAGGCTTCCCACCCCCCTGCCCTCACTTTGTACGGCACCTTCTATGAGCAGCGTTACATCCTCCTTTGGGGAGGCCGATGACCTTACAGGGCCTCCCTCTGAGCTCCCTAGGCCATGAGACAGGACACCATCCCATGTTCCCCACGGGGCACAAGTGGCATTCGGAGCGTGGCAGTTCCTCACCTGCGGGAGAGTGGAGGGCTGTCCCGTGCAGAAGAGAACCACTGTAGAGTCTAACACCCACTCCCTGCCCCCCCGGGATATGTGGGAAACTGAGTCAGCAGCATCCTGACGACGCTGGCCGCCACCACTGCCTCTCACCAGCCTGGAGCCGGCTGTGGGGGAAGTGGAGGAGATAGCGCTGGATGTGCGACGCCCGCGGCACGTGCTGGAAATCAACCATTTAACCCAGTTCCAGATGTCTTTGCTAGGTTGGCCTCCACAATGAACAACTTCAGGTTGCTGGGGGCCAGGTGGTAGAAATAATTACTAGGGTGCCTTTGACAGCTGGAATTTAAAATTATCCTTCCTAAACCCTTCCCGTGCTCCTCTGCCATCCTTCTGCCTGGGGCAGTAATTTCTTAGTAATTCCTTATCCTTTACTCTGCACAGGCATATATGTATATATGCATGCTAAAGAAGTGTTTTACACTCAGCATGCACCCAGATGCAGTTATAGATACAGGCATATGGTTTTGTAACTCGCTTCACTTTTTCTGAGGTTAATATCTTGTTCAGTGAGTTGTTTGCTGGTGACAGAGCCTCCAGTGTGTCCCATAACCTCCCCTCCCTAAGCCCTGCTTCTCTCGTCTGTAAACTGAGAGTTGACCACAGACCTTGCAGTTTTCAAGGTCAATGATGTTCGTAAAGTTCTCCGCAGAGTGGATCACACCTAGTAGGTGCTCAATAAATGCACCTACTTGGTGCTCCTCATTTTGACTCACATTGCACCAACAGTGTCCTTTGTTTTATGGAAAAGCTGTGCTACTGGAAAGGTATGTACAACTCAGATTTGAGCACAACTGAGCCAATTTTAAATGGGCCTCATGAGCCTTTCAATACCTTTTGACAGGGGCCACATTTTTTCCTCCGTTTGTCTTTAGTACATTAAAAAATACATATTCACCGTAGAAAAATAAAAGTTTTACAGTATCATGGGAATAAAAATTGCCTATAATCCTACTCTTAGCCATCAAGAGTTTTCCTGAGAAACGGAACCAGAAGGACATGAGACAGACAGACAGACAGACCGAGGGATAGATGATAGAGATATGTATATTGATTTCAGGAACGGGCTCATGTGACATGCAGGGCCGGTCAGCAGGCTGGCCGCGCAGGCAGGCATGGAGGCCGTGGTCCTGGCACAGACACCCTTCTTCTCTGGGAAACCTCCACTTTGGTCCGTGCCTTCAACTGATTGGACGAGGCCCACCCACTTCTTTGAAGGAAGTCTCCTTCAAGTCAGCTAGTTGGGATATTTCCAGGTTGGGTTATTTTAAAGGCAGTCCCCCCCACATATCAGTCCTTTGTTGTCCGCAGGTGCTCAGCACTGGGTGGGCAGAGACTCCCGAGGCCCAGGGTGTGCCCCCTAAAGCTCAGGATGAGGGGAGCAGAGGGCGGCCCTGGGGCTGTGAGGAGGGGCTGTGAGCCTGGGCCCTTGGCTTCCCTCCACCCTCAGATGCCCCGCCTTCTCCTGATGAGATCACATCAGTGCTCCAGGCATCTCTCATCTCCCTGAATTCGGGGGGCGGGGGGCACTGCTGTCGTTGAGAATGGGGAAGTTCATTCGTCTCCAGTTTGGTTCACTGTGTGGTCCTGGGCAAGACTCTCGCCTCCTCTGGGCTTTAGTGTGAAGCGCTCCCCTCAGAAGGCGGTTCTCCCAGCCGCGGTCTGACAGCGCTCTCTCCCTCGGCCCTCCAGATGGAAGCGCGGTCTTCCGTGGCTGCTTCCGCAGGCCCGACAACCTCTCCCTGGCCTTGCCCGTGACAGCCGCCATGCTGAACATGTCCGTGGACAAGTGTGTGGATCTCTGCACAGAGAAGGTGAGGCGGGACCCTGGCCCGGCAGCATGGAGTGGCTGGAGGGACAGGATGCCTGGCTGGAGGGGGCGGTCGTGACTGTGAGCCGTGACAGGGGAGAGGGGCGTGCCCCTCTCCCACAGGTCCGAGGGGTAGGAGTTCCACAGGGTCCGTTTCGTGCCCTCGGAGGAAGTATCTTTGTCCCAATAGTGAGGAATGCTCAGGAATGAAGGTGATGTTCAAACTGGGCCTAAAAGCCTAAGTAGAAAATCACCAGGTATAGGCGAAGACCATTCCACCTTGGGTCGGAGTGAGGTCCCCGTCACTGGAGGTGTGCAAGCTGAGCAGGGCAGGCATGGTGCCCAGAACTTGGAGCACTGGTGAGGCGTTGGACTGGGTGATCTGCGGGTTCTTTCTCAGCCCAAGATCCCTGATGGCTAACTGTGTGGTCTTCCTCTCTAGCCAGACAGTGAACTCCACAAGAGTAGGGGCTGGGCCTTAAACGTCTCATGCCCCACCCTGTAATTCCCAGCTCAGGGCAAGGCACGTCACTGGGTCACTGGTTGTGATATCCGAGGAGCTCCTTTCGTTGCTCAAGATGAGCTAAGTACAAAAGGATGCAAAGGAGAGCCCCCCCGCCCCCGTCCCCACCACACGATGGCCCATTCCATTTGCCCGCTCAGCTGGTATTTAATGAGAACCCACTCCGTCGCAGGCCCCCTGCACAGTGCTGGGGATGCAGAGGCAACAAGAGACGATCTCTGTCCTCAGGATGCTGCCATTTGCTGGGGGTCTGCCCGTGGCCCCTCCTGGGTGCCGAGCCCATGCCCTGAGTCCTGAGCGCCCCCACCTGCTCTGAGCTGTCGCTATCCCGGAGGCTCCCCGCCATGAAGCCCCTCCCGGGAAGAGGGAACGGCTGTGGCATCATACCGGCTGCTGCGTCCTGAGCGGCCTTCTTGGTCCGCCCCCTGCCCTGCGGGTCGCTGTTCACCTCTCACGGCAAGGCCAGCGGCTGGGGGTGTTCATCCCCATTTCGCAGATGGCAGCACCAAGGCTCAGACAGGTGAAGTCACTTGTCTAGGCTCACAGCCCAGCAAGTGGCAGAGCTGGGATCGACTCCTGGGACCGACTCCGAATCTAGGCTCTTCATTTCTGAGCTACCCCACAGACCCCACGGAGAGGCTCCAAGAGCCATTCAAGGGCAACCAAGTGACACCAAGCCACCAAGCATTGCCTGGGTGCTTGCTCTGCTCCCAAGAGGCGCCCTGGGGGTGGGGCTGAAGCGCATGAGATTAAAGATTTACCCATCATGCGGTCCAGCTCTCTCTGGGGCAGGAATTCCTCCACCACCCGCCACGGCACCCTCTCCAGATGGGCATTCCTCTCTCCCCCAGGGCCCTGGAGGGCCCTACGGGTCAGCTGGAGGTGGGGGACAAACACACGTGAAGCAGTGAGGTCCCAGGGCAAACCAGCGTAACAGAGGGTCAAAAGGTCCAGCTGTACTCAGGGGGGTCTGTGGGAGGACAGAAGGCCCCTCTGCAAAACTCCCTCTTCCAGCTTTCTCTCATCTTCTTGGGGGCCAAAGAGAGAAATGGAGCAGATTAAGGGGGCAGGGAACAGGGCTGCTTGTGCCAAGTGGGGGAGGGACTGCGATTTCCAGAGTCACAGGGGGCTTCAGGACGTTGCAGCAGTTAGGAAACACCCTCCCTCAGGGCCCAAGCTGACCCTCCTCTCCCCGTCTTCTCTCTCTCTCCAGCTAGGGGCCACAGTTCATATTTAATATCTGCTGAAGAAAGACACCAAACCTACTCTGGCTAAACCCAGGGGACCCAGCCATATAGGGATGCCCTTGGCTTGTTACCAGACTATTCCCAGACCAGCTTCTGGGGGAGAATTCAGGGCTGTGGGCCTTGACCAGAGGCAGGCTGGACAAAGAACAGTCCCCTGCCCTCCAGATGGCAGATCCACCCCACTGGCCCTTGGCTGCTCCATAGAACGAACAGAGCAATCAGGGGCCTCTCTCCCCATAGAGACTGTGGTACACAAAGGTCCCGGCATCCTCTTTAGCTGAAAAGAATGGCTTCAGAGAGCTTCCCCCGGGCGTGGGTTTTATCTTACTGTCAGGCCAGGGGCATTAACCGTGGGAGGCTGCACACGGTGAGAAAGGCATTTGTTTTTCGGTTTCTTTCAAGTCCTCCAGCGGAAAGCTCATCTTGGTGCCAAAGCGTCTTTAACACCTCTCTACCTTCAACTAATCTCCCTTTTGCAGCAAAAAAGGAGCTGACAGGTGTTGGGAGTGAGGGCTGCTCAGTTTTGGCAGACAGAGAGCCTCACTCAGGATGTAATTACACTGTTTTGTGTCTGTAGTATTTGCATGTATAGTATGGAAACTACAGAGGTGCTACTTTGTCCCCAAGTCCTACTTGTGGGAGTGATACAAAGTTTCCTTGGAAACTGAAGTCCCAAAAGGTGAGTTGACTTAAAGGAAACAAACAAGTTTCCTTTACAGTACAGAGAAACAAAAAAGAAAATGATCCCTATGTAAGGTGATGTGGATGTTAATTAGCCTAATTGTGGTGATTAATTCACCAGGTATACACTTATCAAGACATCAAGTGGTAACACTTTAAATATGTACAAGTTTTGTTTGTCGGTTACACCTTGATGACTGGAAGCGTACAGTAATGCAGGAGGTACAGAGACGAGGCCACATGGTAAAAGCTGGGCTCCCTGATGACGTTTGGGGACGTCAGGCTCGGGAGAGTGGTGGGGAAGGGATCCCCCCACGGCTCTGCTCTGCATTCACTGTCTGGCCGGCCAGGCATTAAGCCTCGCTCTTCCTCTTCCTCTCCCCCACCTCCGCCCCCAGGAGTACCCGCTGGCGGCGCTCGCGGGCACCGCCTGCCACTGTGGCTTCCCCACCACGCGGTTCCCCCTCCACGAGAGGGAAGACGAGCAGCTCTGTGCCCAGAAGTGCAGCGCGGAGGAGTTTGAGAGCTGTGGGACCCCCAGCTACTTCATCGTGTACCAGACGCAGGTCCAAGGTGAGCCGGGCTGCCCCCTGCCGACCCCCGGATGTTCTCCCGAAGGCCTCTCTCCCCCAGGGGCCCTGGTCAGTCCATTTCCCACTCACAACCACAGCCCAGGCTGCGCGGGCAGAGGGCAGAGGGCAGAGGGCAGAGCTGCTGAACTTGGCCAGGCTTAGAGACCCTGGGTGGGCGACAGAGTGGGGACCCCAGGCAAGAGGGTGTGGGTTCTAAGGACCGTCAACTCTGTCCCTCATACGGAGGACCCCCTTGGTGGCTCTTTTCTTGAAATGGAGGCAGTGACATTGAGTGGGAAGACATCTGACCAGGGAGGGGGAGACCTGCGTCTCCAACACAGACCCACCGCACAATCCTGGGCAAGTCACTTCCCCTCTCTGGGCCTCAGTTTCTCCCTCTGTAAATTACACCTGTAAATCACTGACCTCCAAGGGCCTTTCCAATTCTAGGATTCTGTAAATTTCTGCGTCAGTTCTTTTTCTTTTTTTCTCTCAGTCACCCTGCCCACTTCTATCCTTCCTTTGCTAACGGAGCCCACGCTGGCCGCTCATCTCCTCTCCCGTCTGTTGGGGCCACCAGGCGGCGATCACGATGGTGCTGGCACTGGCGGCGGTGGCGGGGGCACGTAGGGTTCCTGAAGGACTTTCTTTGAGCCACACACAGTGTGGAGGCCTCCGTCTGCATTTTCCCCCCGAGTCTCCTCGGCCTCCCTATTGGGTGGGAGCAATCACTGTGCCCACTTTACAAGGAGGGAAACTGAGGCCCAGAACAGTTCAGGGACTTGCCTGAGGTCAGGTCGTTTATACAATGTCCAGATGAAACCCTTTTCTCCTGATGGAGGCATCACAAAAAGTGGGTGGCCCTGGAGGAGGCTCCTGCTGGGGCTCTCAGCCCAAAGGACACCCTGAAGGAGCCAGTATCTGAGGCGGGTCCCAGTGACGGGCCATTGTGGCTGCTTCGTAGGTGGCTAAAATCCCACCAGGAGTCCAGGGAGTGGGACCTTGTTTAGCAAGCAGGGCCCTGGCCTTTGTTTACACTCCAGTGAGGAAGCTGAGGTGTTAGTTCATTTCAGGAAGCGGGGGGTTAGTCTGTGCGGAACCAGGTCATCCGGGCCTGGGGGCAGGGTCCTGCACCGTTGAATTATCCCAGGACACTGGGGCCCTTTCAGTAGCTGAGAAAGAGGCTCTAATCGGTGGGTTTGCTCATTCCCGGGGGCCCTGCCCGCAGGTCATTACTGCCCTTTGGTTTTTCCAGGTCACACTTCACACTGGGGAGGTAGGAGGAAGGGAGAGAGAAAGAGAAAAGCTTCGATTTGTTGTTCCACTTACCGATGCACTCCCTGGTTGATTCTTGTACGTGCCCTGACCAGGAATCTAACCCGCAACCTTGGCGTATTAGGACGGCGCGCTAACCACCGGAGCTATCTGGCCAGGGCCTCGCACTGGGGAGGTTTGGGAGTCATGTGAGTTCCTCAGGCTGCAAGAGCCTGGTCCACCGTGGCTGCCATTTATCAAGCACCTCCTATGTGCTAAGCCCTGATGTTCTTGGAGGGAACGAAATAATTATTGAGCACCTACTGTGTGCCAGGTACTGTCTCCAGGAGTGTCCAACCCATGGCCCCTGGGCCACATGCAGCCCAGGATGGCTATGAAAGTGGCCCAACACAGAGTCGTAAATTTCCTTCAAACACTTTTTTTGCTCATCAGTTTTTGTTAGTGTTTTTGTATTTAATGTGTGGCCCAAGATGCCAATTCTTCTTCCAGTGTGGCCCAGAGAGGCCAAAAGGTTGGACACCCCGATAGACTGAATTAACTCATCTGATCCTCACAACAGTCCAATGACAGAGGTGGTGCTGTTATTATTGTCACGTTACAAACGAGGCAACTCGGCGCAGAGAAGCTAAGTAGTTCAACCAGCGTCCCACAGCTAAGGTAGGGCAGAGTTGGGATTCAAACCCAGGCCATCCTGGCCCCAAGATTTCACTCGTAACCCCAGTGTCTCAACACACACTGCAAATACCTCACAGGCACTGCGCATTGAACCCTGTGAAGTTTACTAGCCCCATTGTACAGACGAGGAAGCTGAGGCTCAGAGAGGTAAAGTGCCTTGTTCAACGCCACACAGCCAGGCCATGACAATCCTGGATGGAAGCCTGGGTCTGCCTGATTCCTACACTACACATCATACTGCCTCCAGCATTGCTTTGATTTGTGGAGCTTACGAGCCAAATACACTTCCTTTTTTTAGTGCTGAAAACAACAGCTTTTACCCTGGAGTAGGCTTTGGCCTCCCAGGCAGTATTTGAATGGAGGATCTTGTTTTCCAGGGAAACTGAAGGCCTAGGTTCTTTCTCTTTCCCAACATTTTTACTACGACAAAATATGAAACCTCCAGAAAAATCAGAAAGAATTACGCAGTGAACACTCATACTTATCCCGTAGATTTTACATTTGTCAATGTTTTGTTATATTCATTTTTTCATACATCTCTATTTCTCCATCCTTATTTTTAAGGCATTTCTAAGTAAGTTATAAACATCATTACACTTCAGTGTGTACATCGTTAATTATAATTCACTGTTTATGATTTTTTGAAGTAACATTTACACATAGTGAAATGCACAAATTTGAGTTGTACTATTCAATGACATCTGGGTAATCCCCAGCCTTATCAAAATATAAAATATAACCGCATTCCAGAATGTTTCACATCTAGGCTCCTCTGTGCAGTGCGTTCCCATGAAAACCATTCCCAGACACCCACTTGCCTTCGGCAAAGGCAAAGAACACTTGGTTTATTTTTTTCCAAAGCCTGTCCTGCCCTGAACAGACAGATGGCACGGTAGGAGGGACCAGGGCGCCGGCTGGCAGCCGCAGCCCGTTGGTACTCACCGTGCGAGCCCTGTGCTAATACTCAACACGCTTTCCCGCATTCAACCCTCCTAAGAACCCCACGACATTGATCATTCCGTAGTCCTATTTCACAGGCGAGAAAACTGAGGCTCAGGCCCATCGATTTTCCGAGGTCACCCAGCAAGTAGGTGGCAGTATTGGAATTTAAATTTGGGAGCTCTGACTTATCCCGTGAAAGACTGCCCTAAGAAATCAACGTAATCAAAGTAAGATTTCAGTAGTGACCGATAACGCAGAACAGGAAATACTGGGGTACAGCCTTGGAAGGGACTGTAAGGAGGGCAGAGGGATGGGTGCTGTCCCTGTGCTGAGTGGTCCAGTGAGGGGGTGCTGCACTGAACACTGGGTGGCCACCGGTGGCTATGGCAGGACATGGGGCGGGGGTGGGGACAGCTCTGCCAGCAGTGTGACAAGGAATGAGAGGAGGGGAGAGAGTGTTGCTGGGGCAGGGGGGCTTAAACGATGGAGCTCTTGTTCATGTTTGCATGCTCACGGGATGGGACCAGCTGAGAGGGAGAGAGGAGATAGTGGGGAATCCATGGAGCAAGGAGATCGGGGCGGCGGCGAAGGTGGGACGCAAGGGCAGTCCTGTGAGTTCAAGGGGCGGGGGAGCTGGGGCAGGGAGAGGTTTGCCTGAGTCCCCCTCATGGTCTGTAAGGGTTGAGGTCACTGGCTGAAGGAAGAAGCAAAAGACTGAGAGCAAAAATCCAGGATTCTCTCCTGCGCCTTTTCCGCTGCAGAGCCCCCTGTGCTGGGCTTCCCCTCGGCTTCCCTGACCTCTGTAGGGACCGAAGGAAATCACCACGGTGCCTTCTAGCTCCGGGAGGGGTTGCCTGGGAGCTGCCGAGGTGCACACCTTCCCTGAGCTCTGACCGTAGAGGCTCACCTGTCCCAACCCGTTTCACAGATGTGGAATTTGAGGGCTAGAGAAAAACAATTACTCCCCCTTTTGAGCACTTTAGTGTATGAATATATTACATGCATTATTTTACTTAATCTTTACAAGAGTCCTACCATGTAGATATTGCTACCCACCCATCCATCCAATCACTACTACATCCATCTCTCCCCCAACCTGTCATCTGCCTATCCATCTACCCACCCACCTCTCCATCCATCCATCCATCCATCCATCCAACCACCCATTCGCTGACAATCCATCCATCTATCCATCCAAGAATCATTTATTATCTCTACTATATGCCAGATACCATGGAAAGCACTGGGGAATCATCAAAGCACAACAGGGCAGGGTTTCTGACTAAACAAATGATTTTTTGAATTACAGTTGTGATAAGCGACCTGAGGGAGGTGGACATAGCACTTCAGTGATAGGCTGGGGGGCAGGGAAGGAAGGGGGTGCCGACCCAGCGGGGGGCAGGAGGGTAAGCAGCAGCCTCCCTGGCAAAGGCAGGCGGGAGGCAGCGCGGGCGCGGGCGGAGGGAAGAGCATGCCTGCAGGTGCTGGGTCAGGAAGGAGCAGGGCACCCGTGAGGGAGTGAGGGCACAGCGGGTGGCTGGTGGGTGGGGGCGGGAGCGGAAGCCGGTGAATGGGATGAGCCTGGGAGGGTGCCAGGGCCAGACCACAGGGGCTCGGAGGCCAAGAGGGGAGCCTGGGACTGGGTCTCCTTGTAGATGGACGCCATTTGAGGGGTTTAATCTGGAAGAAAGGGTGGGGGGATAGGAGAACTGAGGCAGTAGAGAAGACTCATTCTCCGAGCTGACTTTTATTGAATCCCCACTATGTGCTAATCCCTTTTCATACGGTGTCTCATTCAGCCCCCACATCAACCCCATGAAGGAGGAGCCATATCCCCCGTTTCACAGATGGGGAGGCCAGGGCCCATAAGAGGTTCCATCATGTGCACTGGGTCGATTGTCTGGAAAGCAGCAGGGCTGGGGCTCACTCGCAGGCTTTGTCTGCCCCGCCCCTGCCCCGCCCCCTGCCCCTGCCCCGCCCCCTGCAGACAACCGCTGCATGGACAGAAGGTTCCTCCCAGCCAAGTCCAAGCAGCTCATCGCTCTGGCCAGCTTCCCGGGGGCCGGCAACACGTGGGCTCGCCACCTCATCGAGCTGGCCACCGGCTTCTACACCGGCAGCTACTACTTCGACGGCTCCCTCTACAACAAAGGTGAGGAGGCTGCCTTGGCTCAAAAGGACGCACGGGGAGGGCATGGGAGTGCCCTGCCTGGGCACCGACTATGTGCTGCTCAGCTGACCCAAGCGTGTTTGTTGAGACCTACCATGTGCTTGGTACCTTCCCATCGCTTAAATCCCAGAAACATTTCCAGAGCATCATGTCCTGGGTATTGCACCTGCATCTGTTGACAATAATGGACATTTATCAAGTACCTACTATGTGCCTGGTACCTCCCCTCCACTTAGATCACAACAAGCCTTCTGTGAACACTAACTGTGTGCAGGTCCCTCGCCACTGACCTTTATCGTCCAGCAACTCCGTGCTGTACACTGAGGTCCAATAACTATGTTCACTTTGGAGACATTTCTTGAGCACCCGCCGCTATTTGTCAGTGTCTTACCTACACTTACGTCAATGACATTTGTTGTGTGGCTGCTTTGTTTTCACTCCGTCCACAGACATTGACTGAGTAGTGCTAGGTTCTAATGCGCTTCCCAAGCTTAGTTTCCCAACAGGCATGTATGGAGCACCGACTGCGTGCCAGACATTTCGGGGAGGTTCAGATGGCCACGGACTTTCTCCTGGCCACCCACTAGGTGCCAGGAGCTGTGCCAGGCACTCCACTTCTGTTTAACCCTGCACCGTAACCCTGGGAGGGAGGATGTTGATACCATTTCCAGATATGAAAACGGGGGCTCGGAGCGGAGAAGTCATTTGCCCAAGGTCACACAGATCTTTTTCAATGGGCTGATGAGGGATCGCAGCCCAGCATTTCCTGGTTTCAAAGCCCATACGCATTACCTCACTGCACCGGCAAGAAATTCCTGCAGTTTCTTCCTGCAGAACTGCAAGTCTTGGATGAAGTGCCCAGGGCTGTGAAGCCCCTTCCGGGCACAGCGAGGGTATCAGGGAAGCCGGAGCTCGGCCTGGGAGGTGGTTTGAGCCTCCGCGTGGAGCAGCCCTTGGCCATGGGTCTTTATCTGCCAACCAGATGATGGCCACTACCTGGCTGTGTGACTTTGAGCAAGTTCCTATACCTCTCTGATCCTGTGTCATCCTGCACAAATTAGAGATAACAAAACGTACCTGGTAAGGTTGTTGTGAAGGTTAATCAGTTGATATCTGCAACATGCTCAGCACATAATACGTGTCTAATAAAGGCAGGCTGTGAATACTTCGGTCTGGGTCCCAGGCCCTGACCAAGTGCAGCTCGGTGTTGACAGAGAGCTGTCCCTGAACCCCAGCTCAGGGAGAGCCAGGGGCAGGTCTGTCCAAGGGTGAGAGGCAAGAGGGAGGTAGAGAGTGGGAGAGAAAAGGCAAGAAGGGTAAAAAGGGATAGGTCAAAGGATGGAGCTGGCAAGGGCCTGGTAAGGGGGCCTGCCTTAGAGCCCTGACTTTCTGTGTATTTGTTTGACACAATCGTTTGTTGGGCGTCTATTATGTACAAGGCCCCAAGCTGTGTTTTGCACACTTGTACCAGAATTTGAACCCACACTTGGCTGTCAACAGTACGTCTGCTTTAAACCACTAAGCTGCACTGCCTTTATGGGAGCTGCTGGGAGGAGCCCAAGCACATTCTGGAACCTCTGGGGCGGTGGCTGGAGGAAGCGGGCATAGAAAGCATCCTGTGGCTGGCCCACGTTCTCACCTTCCTGGCTGTAGCAGCGACCCTGCTCGGGGAACCCTAGAATGTCACAGACGGAAGGGTCCCTGAGGATCATTTAGTTCAGGGATCCAATGTAGCTTCACCTCATGTGTCAGTTCCAGTGAACCCCTGCTTTAGGATGATGTGTTAAGAAGGACTCTGAGGTTCTGTTCTCCCTCAGAAACAAAGTGACTTAATCTAGTAGTGATGCCAGTCAAGGGCGTAGAGGGGGAATGGTCTACATGCCACGTATCTACCAGCTCCCTCTACGTCAGCCTCCTAACTTTAGAGAGACGGAAACTGAATCTCAAGAAGGAATCTGGAGATTGAATTGTCGGTCTGAACCCTGTTGCGGATCAGCTGTGAGAACTTGGGCAACGCTCTCCTTTCTGCACTTCCGTTTCCTCCTCTGTAATCTGGGGATGTTGATAATGAACCCACAGAGATTTTGAAAAAATAGAAGATAATGTGTGTGAGATAGTGTGGGTGAGGTTGTGGTATAATATGCACATTATTTTTTAAGTGACAAGTAACCGTTACAGTCAACTATTTAGTCAAAGTCAAAGGGGGTTGCTTTCTAACTACACATTAGAATCACCAGGGTGCTTTTAAAGTCCTAATGCCCAAGCTGCCCCAAGGCCATTTCCATCAAGCTCTTGGGAGTGGCCAGGGCTTTGGTAATTTTTAAAAACTCTGAAGTGAGCCCTGGCTGGGTGGCTCAGTTGGTTGGAGCATCGCCCTCCCCGCTGCCCCTCACACACCAAAAAATTGTGGGTTGGATCCCCAGTCAGGGCACATACCGAGGTTGTAGGTTCGACCCTGGTCGGAGTGTGTACAGGAGGCAGCCGATCGATATTTCTCTCTGTGTGTCTCCTGTGTCTCTGTCTCTCTCTCCCTTACTGTCTCTAAAATCTCAAGAAAATCAATAAACTTGTCCTTGGGTGAGAATTTAAAAAAAAAAAAAAAAAAAAAAAGCTCCCAAATGATTTCCGAGCGAAGTCAGAGTGAGATCCCTGGCCCGAGAGTAGGGGGAACCCAGAGTTCTCACTCCCAAACCCGCAATGTTCCCAAAATTGGTTTTTGTTCCACAGTTTTTATCCTCAAGTCTTGGGGAATATCAAGAGTTGATAATTAATGGAGTAGGTGCCTCTAATATAATAGCTAGAGAGGGGGGAAAAAGAGAGACAGGAAGGGATGGAGAAAGCGAGGGAGGGAGGGAAGGCTAGAGGAAGAAACAGAAAACAAGAGAGGCAGAAGGCAAGCAGGCATCAGCCCTCGCTGGCAGATCCCTGGGCCCACGCTGGGAACGTCAGTCCCCCCGAGAAAGGCAGGTTTGTGGGCTGGTCACCGGCGCCTGGCGCTTTGAGCGCAGCTGTCTTTTAACCAGAGGCTTAAAAATACCTCCTGTGGCCCAGCCCTTGCAGGTGGCAATGAGCTCTCTCCCTGGTAGTTCAGGGCTGGCAGGGACGTTCAAGCAGAAAGGACCCCTGCCCCCAAGTAGCCTCAGTCAGTCTGCCTAACCCCCAAGCCCCTCCCCCATCACCTCTGCAGTTGACAGATGCCCAGCTTCATGAAATCCTCACAGCGCCGGCGCACTGGGTCGGGGGGGCCCTGGGGCATGGGTGGAGGGGAAGGGCTGCGGCACCAAAGGAGGGGGTAACGGCCATGCCTGGGTTTGCTCCCACTGGGTGGCAGTTCAGCTGCCCCTTTCATGTATCAGGCTCCAGGCAGAATGAGATGAGCAATTTGTAGTTTGAAAACACACCAGGCACGGCATGTGCTGTCTACTGTCCCTGGGACATCAATCCCACCCCCACCCTTATCCTCTCTCCTCTGCCTGGAAACCTGCCCCCCCCAGCCGCAGGGCACAGCCCCCTGCAAGGTCCCTGGCAGACTTAAGTGTCCTTCTCCTTTATCTTCCTTGTACCCAGGGCATTCCTTAATCACAGCCCTTATTATTATTCATGTATTCATGTCACTGTTAATAATACTAATAATTGTGGGCATTTATTGAATGTCTTCCATGGACCCAGTGCTATGATGGGTGATTTATATATTTTGGGGGGTGTGTGCAGAACGTGGGGAGGACTTACCCAAAAAGAGGGGAGGGAATTCCAGGCAGAAGCGACGGTGCGGCCAGGGCCTAGACACGAAGGAGAGCGCCATGGCCAATGGAACTAGTTGGATGGCATTGGACCGTGAAGGGGGTGGGGACTGGGGGGCATGAAGTAGGAGGGGCAGCAAGGACCGGATACTGCAAAGCGCCTGGACTGTCCTTCTGAGAGCTGTGCACAGTATCGGGGGGGCACTGTGCAGGCAGGAAGTGGGGAGTGGGGTATAGAGGGTTTGGGGCCAAGAAGTGGTGTGCAAACGTGTGAAATACGCCCCCTGGCCACAGCGGTTGGAAGGGGGCCATTGAGCCTGCAGGATCACCCGAGGAGCAACAATAGTGGGGAGAAGGACATTTCGGGGTCATTGAGTAGAAGGCAGCCTCAGTGACGGGCCAGGAGGAGGCTGGTTTCTGTATGAGTTCATCTCGCCGGGACTCTTGGTGATTTGTTTAAGCCCTTTAGAGTTTCCTCCCTCATCCCTTCGACTAACTGGGGGCACATCCCCACCCCCACCGGGGACCTGATTTCCTCCCCTGTAACAAGCACGGGTCGTGTGGGTGATCCCCCAGCGCCCCCCTACGTCTACGGGGCTGCCTGACATTCTCTCCCCTGCCTCCACTTTCTCTGCAACCTTTTTGTCCTTCGTCCCTCACCTTGGCAACAGACGCACCCACCACTGGGCCGTTGAGTCAAGGACAGAGGGAAGCAGTGAATGACCCAGCCAAGGAACGAACCCCTCCCTCCCAGAATCCGAGATCTGTCCCACCTGAGCAGGGTTTTCTCTGAGATTCTGTCCCTGCCTGTCTCTCTCTTTTTGTTGATTTTTTTCTCTCTGCTTCTGTCTTCCTCTGGGTCTCTCTGCCTCGTTGCATCTCTATTTCCCTCTTTGTGTCTTTGTCTGTTCTCTTTGTCTCCTTATGTTGTGTCTAGGTCTCTTTTTCTCCCCGTCTCACTCCTCTTACTCTCCAGACACCTGTCTGTTTCTGCCCTGCCCTCCTCCCTCCCCCGCTCCCTGGGCCTTCTCTTCCCTGTCCGTCCCCTGCCCCTATCAGGACTCCACAGCCCCAAGTGCAGGCTCAAGCTCTGTGGGCTCTCCGGACCCAGAGCCCAGGCCTCCCACGCAGGGGAGACAGGAAGGAGGGGCTGAGACAACAGCCCAGAGCTGGGCAGGGCCCTTCTCAGCCTCTGGGGGCCCACAGGTCAGGTTTGTGTGGCCCAGGTTAAGAATTGGACAGGCGGTGTGGGAGAAATAAATACTATTTAAAGAAAAAAAATAACAGATGCATGGATCATTTTGCAAATCATCTTATCCCTAGTTCTCATCACAGTGTCTTGCACATAGTAGGTGCTCAATAAATACATGAGCAAATGAAGGAGTTAAGTGAATACGTGGGGACTCCTGAGGAGACCCAGCAGGGGGCAGGGTGGACTTCTTGCCACCAGCGCTCACCTGCCCTGTTCCCCACCCCTGCTGCGGGAAGGGTTTAAAGGTGAGCGGGACCATTGGCGCAGCGGGAGGACCATCTGCATCAAGACCCACGAGAGCGGCCAGAAGGAGATCGAGGCCTTCGATGCCGCCATCCTGCTCATCCGTAACCCCTACAAGGCCCTCATGGCGGAGTTCAACCGCAAGTACGGTGGCCACATCGGCTTTGCTGCGCATGCCCACTGGAAGGGCAAAGGTAATGCTGGGGAGGGGGTGAAGGCGGCGAGGGGGAGGGGAGGGGAACGGAGTGATCCTCAGGCGCAGGGGACAGTACACCGGCCCGTGCTCTCGCCTGCAAGGAATCCAGGAGCGCGTCACTGATGGCACCTGCGCTTCCTACATCCCACCTCGCCCACTAGCGTCACGTGATTCTCCGTGAGTGAGGCTGATAGCACAGTGGTTAAGGATCTGGGTTGTGGAGCGAAACCTACGTGGGTTCAAGTCCCAGCTCCATCACTCCCTGGATAAAGCTTCTTAACCTCCCTGAATTTAGATCATCCTGCCTGTAAACTGCAGCTCTAGAAGTTTAACCTTTTAAGCCACTCCTTAGATATGAGCCATGAGGCATTATGCAAATGGCGGTCCTGGAGTTAAAATGTATCAATTGGAGTAGGTTCAGGAGCCCTTTCCTGAGAGTTAGGAGACCTGAATCCAGACCAGGGTCCGCAGCCGAGCGGCCCCGAGGTTACCGATGAGGTCCCAAGCGATCCTTTTAATGAGCAATCCCAACAACTCTGGGCGGGGAGGCTCAGAGAGGTTACGTGACAGGCCCCCAGGTCACAGCTGGAAGGTGACAGCATTGGCCCCTAACCAATGAACTTCATTAGGATGATCTGGGTTTGGGACTCAATGCTGTGATTTATTAGTAGGTGGCACTGTGTGGATGAATGTCCCAATGCAGGGTGGGCGGTGGCTCAGGGTAGCAGTGAGAACTTGAAAGTCTGACCCAAGTTCTGGCATCCTGAGTACCTTTAACCCTACTGGGTCCCGAAAGTCCATATCAACTGTCACCCATAGCTCCACCGCGGTAAAGAGAATCACAGCGATGAACATTTTAAACCCCCACAATTAGCCCATTTTATAAATGGGACAAACGAAGATCAGGGAGGTGAAGGAACTCAGTTCAGGAGGTGAGGCAGCTTTTTCCAGGAAGTCGGGGGCGGGGGGGGGGGGAGCTGGGGTTTGATCCCAGGGAGTCTTCCTCCAGAGCCCACACTCTTAACCACTGTACTAATCCATGGTTACAGGCAAGGTGGAATGTCTGTGAATAAGAATCGCCCAGTTTAGAACCCCTGTTAATGTGAGCTCCTCCCCACTTCATCTAGGCACCAGGCTGCTCCAGCCTATAGCCGGGGCGGGAAGGGGAGTACTTCCTGCTCCTCCCAACCCTCCCTGGCTCCCAGCTGCTCCAAAGCTCTGGTCCCTGCCTGCAGAGGCCTGGAGCAGGGTGAGACGGTGTTAGCTCTGCAGCCCACCAGTCACAGATGTCCTTGATTAAAAACCCTTGGGCCTGCCCGACCAACTGTGCCCTGGGCTCCTGTTCACCCATCTGTCCCTCCCTCTGCCTTGCTTCCCCTCTTGGGGGGGGTCAGGGAGGGAGGGGTGAGGACTTGGACAGGTGGTGACATTTGTTCTCTTGTCCCAGGAGGAATGAGGCCTCTGAATTATTTATCTGTAGAACCGTTGAACGTCAACACTGGTCAGGGCCAGGCCGAGGAGTCTGCAGGTGCAAATGGCAGGGACCTGTCCTGGGAACAGGCTGTCCGCTTGCCGAGCTGGATAGGGCCCGAGAGATCACTGGCCCCAGCTGCGCATCAGAATCCCCAGGGGACTGTGGGAAAATCCCAGTGCTTAGGCCACGCCCTGGACCATTACTGGAGTGGAGCCTGGGCATCAGCCCTTTTAAAGCTCCCCGCTGCTTCCAGTGTACGGGCGGGACTGAGAACCGCTGATTCATCCTCTCTTTGTTAATGGGGAACCCGAGGCCCAGAAAGAGGCAGGGACCTGCCACGGTCACTCGGGCACATAGTGGCCGGTCTGGAACCCAACTCTCACCCCCAGGCATCTGGTGCCCCAAGTGACAATGGAGGGACTCGCTTGGGAAGCTCGGGCGGGCAGACACTTAGCCTTCCTCACCTCACTGAAACCTTCTGGTTACCCGGGAAGTAAGAAAGAGGCCATAAACATTGTAAGATCCTATTCACGGGTGAGCACTCCAGCCACGGAAAGGAGTAAGTCACGTAGCTGAGGCCGCAGGTGTGGACTGAGCTGGGCTCTAACCCAGGCATTAGCCACCAGGCTGTTTCTTACCCGGCAGTGTCGCTGGCCTACTGGTGTGTTCAGAGGTTCTCCTCTCCGGCACAGCCCCTGGTCTCAGGCTCTGACCATTTTAATTCTCGGGAGCATCTTTTCCCGTTTTCAAGGCCGCTGGGAGCCTTAAAGACAAAGGGAAGGGACGGTCAGGACCGGCCGAGCCAGGAGGCTTCAGGGGTTGGGAGAGTGGGGGTGCCGCGCATCCATCTCACGTTGAGGGCCTGGGGTCCTCACCTTAGTCAGGTATTGGGTAGGGGACTATCTCCCAGTGCCCCCTCCCCAGCCTGAGCCAGGTGTCCAAGAGCTCTGGCTGAGAGCCCTCGCCAAAGAGCGCAAGCCCCGCCGTCCCCACCCATCCCTCCCCGCTCATCTGCGTCAACCTCTGGCACCTGAGGCCGAGACCCTTGCTTTTGGGCCTGGGCACCAGCCGCGTCCGGAAGCGCAGACTCTCAGGCCCTGCCCCAGACCTGCTGAATGATCGGAAACCCTGGGAAGGGCCCAGCGTCTGTGCCCCAGCAGTCGCTCAGCTGTTCCCGACACGCCCTCCAGTTGTGGGGACACTGCTTCAAATCCTTGCCGCTCCAGGGGTGGCCAGTGGACCCATGGCATCGACTTCACCTGGGAGCTTTTCAGAAAAGCAGTGTTCCCCCAACCCTACCCGGGCTTACTGGATCAGAGTCTGCGTTTTAACAGGAAGCTTCAGTGTGCACTTGGAAATTCGAGAATCTCTGCTTTCGGACACCCTCAGCCTAGACCGTGAAGGTCGCCTCCCTCCGAGCAGAGGTCACCCAGCTGTTGAGCATGTCCACGCCACCCTGCCTGTGCCCCCCTCAGCGAGAGCTCGGTTGAGGCTCCTGTGATGCGCCCCCCCCAACCCCCACCCCGCGCCATTTGTTCCATAACGTTGATTTTACAATGTCCCTGGAGTGGGTCCAAAGCAAAGTTTTATGTGATATGATTACACAAGGTGAATTGTCCTGGATCTGTTTAATGAAACAGAGACTGTGTTTAATGATTCCGTGGGGAATTAAGCCCAGTTAAGCTATTAATCAAGCCCCAGTTCCTCCCGTTGGCAAGAAGACGAGCAAGGTGGCCAGCCCAGGCCCTGCCAGGCCCACGTGCGCACCAGCTCCAGTGGAACCAGTCCCCGCTACCAGGGTTCCGTGGCTCGGTGTGCCTTTATTATTTCAATCTGAAGGCAGCAGCCACTTACCGGAAATCTTGAGCTAATCAAGGGCTTTTGTTTCTAAGTTTTATTCTCCTTTCCAATGAAGTGATTGAGGAGCTTCAAGTGAGGGATCTGGGCCGTGGGGCGGGGGTGGGAGACGTCTGCTGCCACAACAGTCCGGGTAGCCAGGGATGCTCTGACGAAAGTGCGGCACCTCGGAGGTGCTGGGGGCAGGGCCAGCATAAGGAGCATTGTAACAGGAACCAACCTTTCTCCAGCATCTCCTGTATCCCAGGCCCCATGGGGTACTTATTTCATTTCATCTGCACAGCATCTAGGATGCAGGTCTAGCGCTGTCACCACTGGGGAGATGGGTAAATGGAGGCTCAAGGAGATCGGCTGATGTCCCTAAGGTCACACAACTAATGTGGAGAAGAGCTGGGTTTTGAACGCAGGCGGTTGACTCCCCAGTCACCTGTGAACGGATCACGTGTCTTAGACGGTGTCTGAAGAGCCGAGTCCCTGAGCTGATCGGGTCAGGAGCTCTCAAAGGGTTTGCGAGGAGGACAGGAGCCAGGCTCAGTTTAGCATAGACATGGGTTTGAATCCTGCCTGGGGTATGTAACAGTGGGGAATTGTAACCCACTCTACTATTCTTTTGACGTTGTTTCTGTAAATGCTGGCTCTGACTAGTATGTAGCTTGTAGATAGCAGCATGTTTATATAAGAATCCTAGGAACTAGCTTCAAAGGATACAGACCCTGACCTTCCACCATCCCAGCTCTGGGAGATTTGCTAACTTTCAGCTGTAAAACCAGGATGACGCACACCAGACCATCACTTGACCAGTTTCAAGGTCCTTAGTGGAATGGACTGGGCTGGTCTGCACAGAGAGAACGTCTCAGCCCTCTCCCCTTGATCTCTTTGTTGTGTTTTCCATAACTGCAAACTGGCTTTTTGTGTCCTGTTATGAAAAAAACCAGATTCCTATTAGGTCCATGCAAACGAATATAGTGCCGTGAGTATAATACTCACTCACTAAGAGTTTTTACACTCCAGAGGGATCAAGCAGGGTTCTTTCGCCTGTCTGAAATGAAACTTCGGTTACATCTGTTCTTTGCTTGTTTTCTTATCTTCTGGGGACTCGGTGTGATCGTGGCTGTTTTGTGCACACTCGGAATCTTCTGTCTCCGCCATTTGGACCTCCACAGCGTTGTTTGTGGCACCAGCTGGTGAGAGATAAAATCTCAGGCTGGCGTCCCTGCCCCTCCTTTTGGAGGATTCCATTTGAGATCGCTCATTTGTTTGAGCTTTGTCTTTGCTCTGGATTTTGTTTTTGTTTCTGTTCTGAAAGGAGTGTCTGGGCCTGGATCCCATCAGAGGCCTTGGGCCTCGGGCAGGTGGCTTCCTGCCCCACAGCCTGCTTTCCCCCCCGAGTGTGATGTGTGACACAGGGCTCGTCATTCCTACTCCTCAGGCCTCTTGTGGGTGCTGTGTGAGATCAGGCGTGTGAGTCGCCCAACAAGCCTTGACATGCAGTAGGTGCTTAGGCAACATACGCCCCCATCCTGGTGAGGTTTGCAATCAACAAGGACGCTGGGCCATCTCTGTCCCACCTGCTGTCCCACCCCGCCCAGCCTGCAGGATGGCCCCTTCCTGTTCTTCGAGGACCACTCTGCCACCTTCTTCCAGCAACTGCGTGAGATAGTCAGAAGTGGCCAAGCTGAGAAGTCCAGATCTGTGTCTCCGGGTGACCGAGCGCCACCTCCGCCCATTGGGGCTTCTGCCACTGAAGCAGGCATTGTCCTGAATTACCAGGAATGCTGGGAGGTGACTTAGGAGTGGGTAAATTCTTAAAAAAAAAAAAAAAAAAGTGAAACAGACTATACTTAGGCTGTATTTTTTCTAATCACCCAGATACATCTGGTCTTAACCCATTATAACAGTATGGGCCCAATTAGCCAGATACATTGTAAAGAATCCATTTTAAGGATCAAAAATATCCTTATCACCAGCATAAATATTTCCCAAGCAGTCGCAGTGTCCCAGCGGGGGGCTCTGGGGAAGCAGGAGCCCCACCGCTGATTCCGATGTCTTCTGCACAGAACCAGGAGTCCTTTATCACAACGTGGTGATTGGGGGTTTCAGTTTTGCTCAACAACTATTTATTGAGCCCCTGCTGGGTGGGAAGCAGTGGGAGGCAGTGCTGGTGAGGCCGCTGGTGCCGGGGAAAGACCGGAACCTGGAATCGGGCAGGCCTGGTCTGCTTGGAGCTCCCCGGCTGTGAGACTTTGGGCCAGTCACTTCCCTGAGCCTCGGTTTCCTCAGTGGTGATAGGTGAATGATATAGTCCTTTCCTTTCAGGGTAGACATTAGGGTTAAATGAGATCATGGGTATCCATCACCCAGCAAGGGAGGAGGATTTAGTTATTAAGGACCATCTGGACCCTCCAGACGGCCTTGGGAGAATCACTAACACTCGTTCAGTAAACACATCCTTCTGGGGGTGCCCATGGCGTTGCCCCCAGGAAGAACAGCAAGTCTGGCCTCAGGATTTCAGAGAACCATGCGGCTGGGCTTAGAACTGCAGCTGGAATCCCTCCCCCTGTCCCCGGCACCCTCCCTGGCTCCCCTTGGTAGCCCCGGGGGCTAGCTGGCTGTCTCTCAGAGGTCCTCTCCAGGGCTTCCCAAGGAATTGCCCGCATGCTGTTGGAGCCTGACTTTCAAGTCAGCCAGTGCCAAACATACCCTCCCAACGTTGGTGACAATCCTCCTGTCATTTCACCATAGCAAGGTAATAGACAAATAGCAAAAAAAGAAAAAAATACCAGCACATGATTCTTTAATAAAAATAGAGAAGGGAAGGTAGAGCAGGCAGGCGTAGAGATAATATAATAAGCTGGCAGGACACAGGGTGTCGAGGAGGCAAATGATACATGGTACGTGTAGGGCACGGAAGGGGCTGCGTAGCCCAGAGGAGGCACCTCCCTGAGCCTGGGGAGTCAGAAAAGACATCCTACCTGAGACCAGAATGACCACAGTAATAGTTTACTGGGTCCAGGGAACCATGCTGAAAACTTTACATGCTTTTTCCACTTGCTTTGGACAACATCCCTGTTAGCTTGTGAGCTGATACTCTTCCCACACAGGGTAACTCTTACGACACCCAACAACTGTCACTACACAGGATAATTTGGTAGTGAAAAGCCCAGACTTTGAGACCAGAATGCTTGGGTTCAAGTCCTGGCTCTACCAGTTATTAGCTGTGTGACCTTGAGCAAGTTATGTACCCTCTCTGGGCCTCAGTTCCCTCTCCTGTTCAATGGGGGGGAAAAAACTGCCTCCTAGAGTTGTGAGGAATAAATGAATTAATAGCTATAATAATACATTTGTTATATATTAACATAAATAGATGCTAAAATATAAAGACACAGTAACCAACATTTATATAGGAATCTATGCCTGGCACATAATAAGCGCCAAACATATGTTGCTGCCCCCAAAGGGAAGGAAGGGCTGAGACAGCTCCAGGCAGAAGCAGCAGCACCGAGGGGGAGCCGTAGGGGGGAGCGTGCAGATAAAAGGAGTCAATGGCATGATTACTGCCGTGAATAATAGCACAATGGCCAGCGCCATCTGGCCTGCGTCCTGCATGCCGCCTCCCCTCCCCCGCCCCCGGCCTCAGCCCGCCCTCCTCTCTCCGCAGAGTGGCCAGAGTTCGTGAGGAACTACGCCCCGTGGTGGGCCACTCACACGCTGGACTGGCTCAAGTTCGGCAAGAAGGTGCTGGTAGTGCACTTCGAGGACCTAAAGCAGGACCTGTTCGTCCAGCTGGGCCGGATGGTGGGCCTGCTGGGCGTGGCCGTCAGGGAGGACCGGCTGCTCTGCGTGGAGAGCCAGAAGGACGGCAACTTCAAGCGCTCGGGGCTCCGGAAGCTGGAGTACGACCCCTACACGGCGGACATGCAGAAGGCCATCTCCGCCTACATCAAGATGGTAGATGCGGCCCTGAAAGGGAGGAACCTCACGGGCGTTCCTGACGACTACTACCCCAGATGATGGGTCGCCTGGGGAGGGGAGGCCTGGCCAAGCTGGGGACTTGAGGCCCCTGGGGACCCCTGCCCCTCGGGCCTCTCTTTGGTATGGGGACCTCCCCTTGGCTGCTGTCGGCCTTCCATGAGTTTCCTGCATGACCAAGGAGCCTCTGGGGAAGAGGCTGTCCGGGCACAGCCCACCTGCTCACAGTCCCCTTTACAGACGCCAGAAGCCACTGATCGGGGGTGTTCCAGCCACGCAGACCCCCTTCTGTCTCCCACATCCCTGCCCCCACCACTCTGGGCTCCTCTCATGGGGGTCCCGGAGACATGGGTGCCTCACCCAGGTGCGGAGGCCCTTGACGCAAGAGCCGAAGGGGCAGGGGGAGGAAAGTGGCCCCCGTCACTCTGCCCTCCCGGGCTGAGCCTCCAGACCCTCCCCTTCTCTCCACCCAAGGACGCCCAGGTCCATCCGGCCCTCGTGCCCAAAGGTCAAAGATTGCTGGGAGGTTTCTCTGTAGCCTTAGGTTTCTGACGTTCGGGTGGGGCGGGGAGGCCCTGGTGCTCCCAGCAGGTTAAGTGTCACCACTGTGGCGGGGGGCGGGGCGGTCACTCACAAGGAGCCCACCCCCAGGTCACACTGCTCCTAAGAAACGATCAGGCGCCTGTTCACCTCCAAGGTCAGGATTCTGCCCTTTTCCTTCCCCCGCCCCCGGGATCCGGGTAACGCATCGCTCCATTGTGGCGCCGACACATTGATCTGACACTGCCTTCCGACCCCTGCCGATGGGTCCTTCGCTAGCCAGGTGGGAGCGCAGAGCCAGGGAGCTCCAAAACAGGTGGATCCAAACCCAAAAGGGACCCCCGCTGCCTTCTCAGGCCATCTGCCTCCCCGCGATCATGGCTCAGAAAGTGGCAGCTTCTCCTGGGAGCCCTTTAAGGAACAGTGAAACCGATGGGGTGGCCCTCCATTCCCACACAAATGCCACTCTCCTGAAGCTGAGACAGCAAACCAAAGGATCCCTGAGGACCTGGGTCCCCGACCCTCCATCTTAGAAAGCGCGGGTCCAGGATCCCTCCGCTCCCCCCACCTCGGAGACCAGTGGCTGCACCCCCGGCCCCCCTGTGCACCTGCTCCATCTCACCATGTAGATGCAAAAGCCATAGGCCACAGCTCTTTACTCTTCTGCCCGGAGCAACCCCCTCCCCCCAAAACAGCCCCTCTGAAGCCTTGGCTTGTAGGACAAGGCTCATTCCCAAATAGCCAAGAGACTATGGAGAAGGCGAGTGTGAAGAGATCTATTTTTTTAAGAGGAATATGACTCATACATTCCGCCCCTTGGAGCCCAGCCGTGAAAGAGGAAGGGGACCTGCAGTTGTCTCCCTGACCCCCTCATCTGTAGGGTGTGGGCTCCCCCAGGGCCCAGCCAGGGGGCTCTGAATGTATTTTGTACCGTGTTTCTTTCCCCCAAGCTAATTTCTAGTCCTTTCAAAGCGGGAGAGGGCCTGGCCCCCCGCCCCCTCAGAGGCCAGCTCTCTCTGGGAGCCTCTTGTCCCGAGACCCAGGGCCAGTTCTTTGTTGGTGGCCAACTCAGGCCCCAAGCCCCTGTCTGAAGATTCCTCAGGTCAACACCACCATTAAAAGTGAGTTTTGTTGGTAATTCTATCCCATGGCGGAGTGTTGTATAGGCGCGTTCACAAGCGGGATGTTTTCTGGGTGTGTCTGTGTATGTGAGAGACAGAATGCTCTGGGGTGCGTAATTGCTTTTGCGCCTGTGTGACTCTGTGGCTGCCCATGAAGGACTGCGTGCCTCTGTGTGTAAAATGGCCTCGGAGTTCAACTGCCCTCCCGTGTCCCCCACGCTGGTATGGCACCATCCCGGTTCTGATGAGTCCGTGTAGGTCCCTGTGTGTGGCATCATGCACGTGCAGAGGGGGAAAAGGCTGGTGCGTATGAGCCCCGTGCGTGAGACGGTGCCTGTGTGTTGTGGAGGGAGGGCTTCTGCACGCGCCTTTTGTCCTTGGTGCATGTGTGGGGGGAGGGGCACTGGTAGGGAAGGATTACTAGAGTGGGGTATCAGTGTCCCTGCTTGGAAGCCACAGAGAGTACAAAGGGACAGAGAAGGCCCCTCTGGTTCCTGCTGGGTAGAGAGAGTCTCAAACCTCCAAACACCCCTGAAGGAGGACCCTGTGTCCTCTCTCAACCACGACAGAAGGACTTTCTGAGGAAAGGTACCAATGCTCCAGGCACTGTTCCCAGCCTAAGAGGAGGACAAGGGGGACACGTACTGCCTCATGGACAGTAAGAGGGAGGGGGCTCAGAACAACCGGGACAGGCAGGGGAAGGGGAGGGCGGGGCTGGGAGGGAGGAGAGAGGAGGGGCTTCTCCACACCCAGAGGGAGAGCTAGGCGGTGAGGCCTTGCCTGCAGCCCAGGGCGCTGAAGTAGGAAAAGGAGAGGACATTCCCAGGAGGAGGAGGAGGTGAGGTTGCTCCAGGACGGAGGGCAGGCTCTTTCTCCTGGGGGGCTGTGTTGGCTCCGGAAATCCTTCTGTGATGACTCCCTGGGCCCCAGGCAAAACTCTGAGCCCCATCTCAAGCCTTGCCTCTCGTCCCAGGCTGAGCCCTAAACCAATATGCCAAGTCTGACCAGGTCACAGCCTGAGCCCCAATCCTAGAGTCTGGATCCCGAGTCCCAACGAAGCACTCACCCTGACCCCAGGCTGAGCCCCGATCCTGGACGTGCATGGATCCATGATCCCGGTCTCACGCTGATCCCTGATCTCCAGCCCACATCAAACCTGGGCCCTGGGCAGGGTCCCAGATCGGGCCTTCTCCATACTGGCCGCACAGACCGCAGGTTGCTGACTGCACCCCGGCCGGAGTCACAGGCCCAGCCCTGCCCTACACCTGCTGACAGGGCCTCCTGACCGAGCCCAAGGCTCGGCCACGGATTGAGCTCTGGTTCTGCTCATAGACCGAGCCCAAGTCCTGCCTCTGGATGAGTCCTGACTTCGGTCACTGTGAGCCCTGACCTTGGCCTCACTCTGAGCCCTTGCTGACCGCCGGTCTCAGGCTGAGCCCTGAGCCCATATGCCCATTTTCTTTCACTTATCAAAATAGCATCTCTCCAACCAAAGCCTCCTTGACCTCTAACCCCAAGCTGCCCGGGACTCTTGCCCCGATGACACAGATCCCATGCCACCTCCTCCCCCACAGCATGGATCTCGCAGCCCTTAAGGGGCCGACGTGGACAGTTAGCGACCCCTTCTTCGGTCAGTCTCTGCCCTTCTTATCATACTTCGGTGACGCTCTTGAATCAAATCTTTCTATTTCAGATTCAGAAGAAACCAAGGCAGAATTCGTTCATTCATTCAAAGTAGCGTGCGTTCATTTATTCAACAATCTTTACTTAGCACCTACTATGTGCCAGGCACTGCTCTAAGGTCTAAAGATTTCAAAAGGAACAAAACAGACACACTCCCCATCCCTGCAGAGTTTATATTCACCGAGTACCGAGCAGGTACTTGGTAGTGGTCAGGACGCTTTGGGGGAGGCGATGACAGAGCACAGAAGGAAAAGGACTCGGGGCGGACCCCAGCAGACAATCGGCCCCATCAGTCAGCGGGACACTGCTTAGCAGAGACTACCGCTCACTGGCCCAAGTCACACAGAGATGAACAGCAGAACTGGGGCTGCCCGGCTGGTGCCACCTCCCGAACGCCCAGCGCACACACTCAGAGTGACGGCGCCCGGGCGCCTGAGGAGAAAGGAAGGCGTTGCCTCCCAGTGCGGGGACGTGCCTGGTGTGGAAGCTGGGACACCTGGGCACTCTCCTGCCGGGGCTCCAGGGCGCAAGGAGGACAGGCAGGGCCCAGCATCTACTGACAGCTGGGATTTCCTCCTGATCTTCCCAGTAACCCTAGCGGCTGCTGCCAACGTGTATTCCCAGTGGCCGATGTGGGCGGGGGAAGGATGGAGAGGCTGGGGGGCAGGTCCTTCCGGGTCCCATCTCCTCCCAGAGGCCCAGCCTCTCTCCCTTGCCCCCTGCTCTCTTGCCCTGGCCTGCTCGCTCCCCACCCCCCACACGTGTTCTCACTGTTTCCTTACACAGCCTCCATCTCTCAATTTCCCTGTTCGTGGTTGCATTTCTTTCCTCCTCATAAACCTCTTTTTTGTCCTCCTCTCCCTCTCTCTCTCTCTCTCTCTCTCTCTCTCTCTCTCTCTCTCATTTCATCCTTATCCCTTCCTTGATTTCTGCTTTGCTTGGTGCAAGCATCTCTCTATATCTGTCTCTTGATCTGCGGGCTCTCTGTCTCTCTGCCTGCCTCTTGCCCCCTCCCTTCTCTCCGCCCTCACCACCCCTATTGTCCTCTCCCCAGTCCTCCTCCTCGTCTTCCTGGAGAGTGGGAGCGGCTCCGCGGGATGCAGACACAGTGAAACAAATGCTACCCAGGCCGGTAACCAAGGAAGTCGTTTCCTTAGCAACAGAATCTGTAGGCACGTGTTTCGCTGCCCCATCGCTTAGCTATTACAGTAAGTACTGGGGGGTCGGGGCAGGCAAGCCTGGGGACAGGGAAGTCAGGAATGACACTGTGTAGTGATCCTCTTGGGAGGGGACAGTGGTCAGAGACGAGCTCCGTACCTGGCATTGTGGAGACAAAAATCAGAGAGTCTGGCGGGTCAAAGGGAGGCATGTAGCACGGATAGAGCTGAGGGGAGAACCCACAGAACTTGATGAAAGACTGGATGTGGGCAGGGGGAGGTGACAAGGCCAAGAGGCCACCGAGATGCTGCCTGTGCAGCTCCTGGGAGGAGGTCCTTTGACAGATGGAGAGTAGGGAGGGAGGGAGAAAAGGTGGTAAGCTGACCTAGCTCCCTGTCCCCAGGAGTTCCTCATCTAGTTGGGATGGCACTGGGGCGGGGGGAGGTAGAACGTAGGCATAGACAGAAGTAGCTCACTCAACTCTCCCCATAAATGGGTGAGGAGGGCCCTGGCCACTGTGGCTCAGTTGGTTGGAGAGTCATCCCATAACTAAAGGGTTGCGAGTTCAATTTCTGGGCAGGATGCATACCTAGGTTGCGGGTTCGATCCCTGGTCTGGGTACGGTGTTTCTCCCTCACACTGATGTTCCTCTCTCTCCCTTCCTCTCTCTCTAAAAGCAGTGAAAAAAATGTCTCTGGGTGAGGATAAGAAAATAAAATAAAATAAAAAAACTGGTAAGGAGGGACGTGGGAGATCAAGCAGAGGCCTAAGAGTGCTGAGAGGCTCAGAGAAGGTAATTTCATGGCTCAGGGGACACAAAATTTGGCAACAACTGTGAGGTTCAAATGTGGGAACAATCCAGAGCCCGTCCCAAAGATGGAAGACAGAAGAGGGTAGAAAATTTGGAGAGACAGAGAGGCAGAGAGACACAGAGAGGAAGAGAAAAAGATTTACATCATCGACTTGCTAATCTTTCCTACTGGGAAAACAAAAATAAATTCCATTTTAGAGAAATGAGAAAGGGGGAGGGAGAAGACAAAAGCGCCCCCTGGTACTATAGCTTTGGCAGCTATAAATAACTGTCCCCAAAGAAAACACCTGTTAAGATACATTCGCTTCCAGGGAGGCGAACTGTGTCCCCATTTCAGGCTGATGTTTAAACGACTCGGAGAGGGTGACGGGGTACGAAGGGCAGAAAGGTGGTCCACACGACACAGGAGAACCTCGCTCGGCTTTTCCCAAAATGTGATAAAACGCGCAGGCGAGGAGAGCTGTAAATCTGAGTGATAATAACATCCGTCCTCGCAAATGCAACACGTTTATTTATCATGTTTGCACGTTTACAATTTCCCTTCAAATTTACAGTCTGCAATCTGCCAGCGTGCAGGGGGAAACCATGGAAATGAGGACAAACTGGCAGGACGTCGAGAAGGAGAAAATGATAAAATATTTATCACCTTTGTCCACCCCCAATACCCCAGCTGCCTTAAATCCAATTTCAAACAAAGGTGGTGATTTATCCGAGCAGGGCCCTGGGTCTCTATTTCAGGCCGTGGAGAGCTAATTGAAATGAACAGTCATTATGGAAGGGAATGTGTGACAACAAAATGATTTTTGTGTATTCAGAGTCATTTACTAAACAATTATGGGGAATGAACAGTCAGCCAGAAGTGAGAGAGACGGTCAATCTTGGTGGGGACAAGAAGGCTGTGCCCTACAAAGCAAGGGACAAGAGGGAGGGAGAGATAACGGGGTGGGAGGGGGGCAGAATCTCTCCTGAGAGTTGAGTTAGGCACCCAACCTGTAATCATAGGTACCTGGGCTTCCAAAGCAGAGAAAGGACGCCCAGCACTATCCCAGACCTTCTGAAGCAGATTTAAAAAGAAGAAGAAGAGGAAGAAGAAGGAGAAGGAGAAGCAGCAGCAGCAGCAGCAGATGCCGCCCAAGGGTCGCTGGTAGGGACCCTGTGGACCTGCTGGGAGGCCAAGTTGTGTTTCCAATGGCCTTGTTAGTAACCACTGGCCTGCAAAGGGTTGTCAATATCCTCCATGCGTCTATGGCTCTCCATGCGCTATGATCGATGCATCCCTCGCCAGGACCCGGCACACAGCTGGTGCTAGGGGAATGCTTGTTGATCTCCTGAAT